AGTGGACTTAATCTTGGTGCATTTCGTAGTTCTCCTGAAAGTCCATCTTGTTAGTTTATGATTCGTTGGTTTGTGTGAATCCCAAAAATGGGATCATTCAATAACCCAACTTAATGTTGTTCGACCTTTGGCACTGACTTGGTTCCCTGTTTTTTAAGTCACTCGAGCCCAGATGGATTAATTTCCCTTCTCTGTAATACAAGTAGTCCTCAACTTACAACTTACAACAGTTCATTTAATGACTGTCCAAAGTGACTTACGACCGTTTTTCACATGACCATTGCAGCATCCCCATGGTCATGTGATCAAAATTCAGATGCTTGGCAACTGACTCATACTTATGACGGTTGCGGTGTCCAGCGGTCACATGATCCCCTTCTGGGATCTTCCAATAAGCAAAGTCAATGGGGAAGCCAGATTTGCTTAACAACCATGTTCCTAACCTAACAACCGCAGTGATTCGCTTAATAACTGTGGCAAAAAAGGCCGTAAAATGGGACAAAACTCCCTTAGCAAATGTCTCGCTTAACGACAGAAATGTTGGGGCTCCATTGTGGTCATAAGTCAAGTGGTGCAGTGGCCTAGAGGTGGAGCTCTCAGCTCACAATCAGGAGGCTGTGAGTTTGATCCTAGATAGAGGCAGATATTTCTCTCTCTGGGCACAATGAGAATATATCTGCTGAACAAAACTCCGTGCTGGCGACAGGAAGGGCATCCGGCCAGTAAACATTCATCTCCATTCAGTTGCCCAGACTTCAGACTTCAAGGGATTATGGGGTCATTAAAAGATGATGATGCTTGCCGTCATAAGTCGAGGACCGCCTGGGCTTTTTATTCTCAGACGCAACTCCGCAAGGCATCCTTTTCCGAAGAGGCCTCTAGGAGTCTTCAGTGAGGTTGCAAAACAGAGTCGTTAGATTTTAATTGATGCATTTGTCAATTAATGGATCAGAGAAGGGGAGTTTTAATTAGTCAGGCTCCCCATTAGGAGCGGGCTGATGATTTACTGTAAAGAGATTAATGAGACAAGAAGCATCAAGGGACGTCCTTTTGATCTCACGAGGAGCCGCAGAAGTTTTGGGGGTTACTTTGTTCTCCCAAATTTTCTTTATCAGCCTGGGCTGAATTCTCGGTAATTCGGTCTGCTAAACTCTTCTGCCCCCGAGGCAAATTTTTATTTCTCTGATCTCTCCGAAGGCCACAGCTCAGATCCTTCTTCTCTCGCTGCGGCAGATGCTGCTTTCCTGCCCAGAAATCTCGGCTGATCTGGCCCAAAGATCAGAGGAAGCTCGTAGGAAGTGGAGATATAAAGTCTTCGTGCATTTAAAGATATTTTTTCCCCTTTGTTTCTTCCTCTGCAGAAACCAGCTGGAAGGAAGAAGCGTAAAAGCTTCTGGGGGAGAGGGCCATTAGGTAATTGTCTCCAATTCTCCTAGTCCTCTGTTTTACTGGAATAGAACAGAGTTGGAAGGGACCTTGGAGGTCTTCTAGTCCAGCCCCCTGCTCAAGCAGGAGAACCTATACTACTTCAGACAAATGACTGTACAGTCTATCTTAAAAATCTGCAGTAATGGAACACCCATGATTTCTGGTGGCAAGTTGTTCCACTGGTTAATTGTCCTCACTGATAGGAAGTTTCTCCTAAATTCCAGGTTGCTTCTCTCCATGGTTAGGTTCCACCTATTGCTTCTTGTCTTGCCTTCTGGTGCTTTGGAGAAGAGGTTGAACCCCCTCTGGGCAACCCCTCAAATACTGGAGCACTGCTATCATGTCCCCCCTAATTCTTCTTCTCTTTAGACTAGCCAAGCCCAAATCCTGCAGATGTTCTTCCTATGTTTTAGTCTCCAGGCCTTTGATCATCTTACTTGCTCTTCTCTGCACTTTTTCCAAAGTCTCAACATCTTGTTTTGTAATATGGTGACCAAAATTGGTTGCAGGATTCCAGGTGTGGTCTTAACTAGGGTTTTTAAGGAGTTCGGGTCAATTTGCTAATTTGGATGGGGTGTGGATTTTAGAGAGATCTGAAGCAGGAAGAGCCATATGGATTCTCTCAGTTTTGTGCATCCCTCTAACACCTGTGTTTCTCCAACCTGGACTTGATTACTTTCCACCTCATCTTCAGCATATTTAGAAATAACTGGGATCCTCGGAGCTCTGGGAGCTTGGCTGTTTTCTTGCAGAGGTCATTAGTGTTAGAAGGGAGGGGTGGTTTGCTTTTATTATATATATATATATATATATATCAACCCCCCCACCCCTAGAAGAATGAGATATTTTGGGGAATATTGGAAGAGGCCGAATATTATATTTCTCCAAAGGGAGAAATGGAGAAACGTGTTCTTAGAGGCAGAAAGCAACCCCCTAAGTCTTTCTTATAATAGCCACAGCAGATGCCGGCACTGAAGGAGATCAGGATCTTATTGAAAGAGGAAGACTATCTAGATGGCTCCATTCATAAGCAAAGCAAACACTGCAGGCGGAAATCCATTCATGACAGGATATTTCGAAACTCCTTATTTGACAGCTAACAAAAGCAGAGTGGTAGGATTAGAACAAGCAGCCTCTCGCCCAAGATCCAACACAGGACGAAAGCCATTAAGCCACAATAGGAATTGCCCAACACCCTTTGAGAAACACAAAGTCCGTGCTGCAAAAATCCCAACCTTCAAAGTTTCAGAAACTATAAAGATCCATCCACCTATTCAGCCATTTGGTCAGCTGCCCCAGAACTGCACGCTGTGGTTCTGTTAATAAACGAATGGAGTCTTTCTTTCCAATCAGCCTCCACTCCATTTCCAGCGTCTTTCTCCCAGCTTGGAACTGAACTGGATGGATTTTTTCCCTCCAACACTTGATTAGGTTATGGTTTATTGTTTGATTGATTGTCTGAGTTGGCAGCTTCTTCATCGGAATATTGTTCACTGCTTCATTAATATTCTTGGTGTTAATCCCTGCTTAGCTGGGTATCTGAAAATCTGGCACTCAGACAAATCTACAGGCACATAGAGGTAAACTGCATCTACCCACCATTGAAAAGAGACAGTCAAGAAGCTTAAAAAAATGCCTCTTCGCCAGCGATCAACACCCAGATAAACAGAGATCGCACCAAGATTCATACTACACCAACAATCAAGCAATAAATAGTATCCCGATCAAGAAACTGATCAGGATATATATACTGACAGGGCAAGCCACTAGTGCATAAAATTAGAGCAAACCCCACTCCTTACTAGCACTGATGATATTCCCTAGTTGGGTCGTGAAAGGTCTGCAAGGAAACTGCCAAGCTCAGAGAGCACCAAGGACCCCATAGTTGTCCTCCTCCTCCCCTATTCCCTTGCAGCACTGATGATATTCCCTAGTTGGGTTATGAAAGGTCTCCAAGAAAACCACCGAGCTCAGAGAGCGCCAAAGAGCCCACAGTTCCACCCTGAGCTACACAGATTCTCTTCTATTAATATTCTGAATATTATAGTTAAGAGGGCAGAACCAAGCCTTCTCCATTATTTCTCACCGAATTGTCTATTATCCATTTTTTTCCCGTGCAGCTTGGATTCATTGGAAGCCAGGAAGATGCAAATTGCAATTGGCAAGATTTCTGTATGCATTCGATTCCTCTTCCTAAAGCCTCCCGGGATTGCCCATTGTCCGGGGCTGAATGACAAGCAAAGGATTCCAGATCTTGTCCGAAATAACTTTGCCAATTTTGTGAAGGGTAGCTGCCTTGGCAGTTTATGGCCAGATTCCACAGACTGTCGCACGACCATTTCAAAGGCAGCAGCTGCTCTTTGAAAGAGGCAGCCGAGGGAGAAATGACGGTGGAATGGCTGCAGATATTAAGCCAGGCCTGATTTTCAGGCAACTGCCAAACCCCCCCAAAAATAAAATAAAATAAAACTGCTGCCATTAACTGAACATTTGTAGCTCAGGGTTGAACTGTGGGTTCTCTGAGCTGGATGGTTTTCTTGCAGACTTTTCGTGACCCAACTAAGGAACATCATCCGTGCTAGTGGGCGTTATGCTAGTAGGGAGCAAATCCCACCCGCACTAGCTCCGATGATGTTATGTAGTTGGGTCATGAAAGGTCTGCAAGAAAACAAGCTCAGAGAGCACCAAGGACCCCACAGTCCTCCTCTTCCTCCTCCTCCCCATCCACCTCCTCTTCCTCCCTGCAAACTCCACTCTATTCTAGCACTGATGATGTTCCTTAGTAGGGTAATGAAAAGTCTGCAAGAAAATAACTTAAAGCACCAAGGACCCCACAGTTGGGTAATGACACATGTGCAAGAAAACCCCAAGTTCAGAGGGCACCAAGGACTCCATAGTACTTTTCTTCCTCTTCCTCCTCCTCCTCCTCCTCCCTGCAAATCCCACTCCCTTCCAGCACTGGTGATGTTCCCCAGTTGGGTAATCAAACATCTGCAAGAAAACTGCCAAGCTCAGAGAGCACCAAGGCCGACAACAATTCAACCCTTGAGCTACAAATATTCTCTTCTATCGGATCCTCCAATGCTGTTTCTTCACATGCATTGGGCTCCAGGAGAATTCAGGGGGAAGTCCAAGGACTCAAAATCAGGAGGCTTGGCAGGGTGAAGGTTGGCCCATGAGGGTCAGCCTAGGAGATGCGTGGCTTCTCTGTGGTCCTCGATGGAGTTTGGAGCGTAACCAAGGAAACCAAGCAGCCCAAAGGATGCTGCTTTTAAGCTTGTGCAGAGCATGGCCAGGAGCCCACAGCACCTTCAAAGCTTGGAGGACATTTATGAGTTTGAAAGAGGTGGCCTCCTCCCTCCCACTCAACGCCCCTCATCCCCAGCGGCAAAGAACAAGGGGTCCTATCGGAAGGGAGCGTTCTCAACAGCAGCTCCCTCTGCCCCCCAATTCCAGGGTTTCTCTGGGACCCCCCAGAATGGACCGTGATCACCGTGGGGGAAAGAAACTTAAGCCTCTCCTTTCCCCGAGGTTTTCAGTGGCTACAATAGGTTGGCGGATGCAGCTCACCAGACAGTCAAATTACATATTTATTTCTATTTTGCCCTACAGCAAATGGCAGACGGGCTAGGAACATCCAGTCACATGCACGAAAGAGAAAGAAAGAAAGAAAGAAAGAAAGAAAGAGAGAGAGAGAGAGAGAGAGAGAGAGAGAGAGAGAGAGGGAAGGAAGGAAGGAAGGAAGGAAGGAAGGAAGGAAGGAAGGAAGGAAAGAAAGAAAGAAAGAAAGAAAGAAAGAAAGAAAGAAAGAAAGAAAGAAAGAGAAAGAAGGAAGGAAGAAAAGAAGGAAACGAAAGAAAAAAGGAACAAAAAAAAAAGAAAGAAATATAGAAATATAGGTCCAAATTGGATCTCGGCACAGGGAAGTCCTCTGTTTCATCCTAGTTTCACTCCTGCCAAACGATTCGATTTCCATTCATTTGGCAGAGCTCCCCATAATATCCAGGATATGATTTAGCTGGTGGGTTTTGGGGAAGCTCCCCGTTTCTCTTCCTCTCCCTCCTCTTCGTCCTCCTTTCGAACGAGAAGGACGTAGACGATGCAGAAGGACAGAAAACAGCAGATTTCGAACAAAAGCTGGATGCCCACGAAGCTGGGAGAGGACAAAAAAGAGAGAGTCATTTGCAACGGCTTCCCTCGCTTGCTCCGTTGGGGACGTTGCAGTGAGCAAGAGGCCTAAAATCCCATCTTAATAAGTGCACGTTTCATTTCTCCCTCTGTTTTTTTAAGAATATTAATACGGGGAGGGAAGCATTTTTGTCATCCCGGTCAGTGGTGAAATTCAATATTTTACTACCGGGCGTGGCTTGGTGGGCGTGGCAGGGGAAGGATACTGCAAAATCCCCATTCCCTCCCCACTCCGGGGAAGGATACTAAAAAATCCCCATTTCCTCCCCACTCCAGGGGGAAGGATCCTGCAAAATCTCCATTCCCATCCCACTCCAGGGGAAGGATACTTACTGCAAAATCCCCATTCTTTCCCCACTTCAGGAGAAGGATACTGCAAAATCCCCATTCCCACCCCACTCCAGGAGACTGCAAAATCCCCATTCCCTCCCCACTTCAGGTGAAGGATCTGCCAAAATCTCCATTCCCATCCCACTCCAGGGGAAGGATACTGCAAAATCCCCATTCTTTCCCCACTTCAGGGGAAGGATCCTGCAAAATCTCCATTCCCATCCCACTCCAGGGGAAGGATACTGCAAAATCCCCATTCCCTCCCCACTCCAGGGGGAAGGATCCTGCAAAATCCCCATTCTTTCCCCACTTCAGGGGAAGGATCCTGCAAAATCTCCATTCCCATCCCACTCCAGGGGAAGGATACTGCAAAATCCCCATTCCCTCCCCACTCCAGGGGAAGGATCCTGCAAAATCCCCATTCTTTCCCCACTTCAGGGAAGGATCCTGCAAAATCTCCATTCCCACCCACTCCAGGAGAAGGATACTGCAAAATCCCCATTCCCTCCCCACTTCAGGTGAAGGATCCTGCAAAATCTCCATTCCCATCCCACTCCAGGGGAAGGATACTGCAAAATCCCCATTCTTTCCCCACTTCAGGGGAAGGATCCTGCAAAATCTCCATTCCCCACCCCACTCCAGGAGAAGGATACTGCAAAATCCCCATTCCCACCCTACTCCAGGAGAAGGATACTGCAAAATCCCCATTCCCATCCCACTCCAGGGGAAGAATACTACAAAATCCCCATTCCCTCCCCACTCCAGGAGAAGGATATTGCAAAATCTCCATTCCCTCCCCACTCCACGGGAAGGATACTGCAAAATCCCCATTCCCACCCCACTCTGGGGCCAGCCAGAGGGGGTATTTGCCGGTTCTCCGAACTGCTCAAAATTTCCGCTACCGGTTCTCCAGAACCTGTCAGAACCTGCTGGATTTCACCCCTGGACTCGGGGTTGGCAACCTTAAACACTCAAAGAGCCACAAACGTCCTAACTGGAAGCCCCCACACCCAATTCAATTCTGGAGCTGACCAGAAGTCCGGTTCCCCCACCACAGAGTCTTCTCCTAGCACGGCGTCCTTTTCCCTCTACCTGTCCTAACCGAAAGCCCTATCAATTGTGGAGCCAACCAGCAACAGGGAGCCGCAGCAGAGGGATGAAAGAGCCACATGCGGCTCCAGAGCTGCGGGTTGCCGACCCCTGTTCTAGTCCAACCCCCTGCTTAAGCTTAAGCCTCTCTACCAATCCAGGTAAATGTTCGTCCAATTTCTTCTTAAAAACCTCCAGTGATGGAGCACCCACAACTTCTGGTGGCAAGCTGTTCCACTGGTTAATTGTCCTCACTGTTAGGAAGTTTCTCCTTAGTTCCAGGTTGCTTCTCTCCTGGATTGGTTTCCATCCGTTGCTTCTTGTCCTGCCTTCAGGGGCTTTGGAGAATAGATGGACCCCCTCTTCATTGAACCCCCAAATCTTGGAACCCCCAAATCATGTCACCTCCTAAGCCTTCTCTTCATTAGGGTAAACATGCCCAGCTCCCTCATTTTCATCACCGGGTTATATAGTTATTCACCAGCTATATAGGAACTATGCGGAATAACAGAGTTGGAAGGGGTCTTGGAGGTCTTCTAGTCCAACCCTCTGCTCAACCAGGAGACCCTATCCCATTTGAGACAAGTGGCTGTCCAATCTCTTCTTAAAAACCTCCAGGGATGAAGGCACCCACAACTTCTGGAGGCGTGTCATTCCACTGGTTCCCCTAGACTTAGTTTGTGACTACGTAGAAATTCTAGGCTGTTGCCTCTTTTGACTCCATCCCCAGTTCTGGCACCTTCCCTTACACAAACCGAGTGTCAAGTTTCGAGGTCGTCTCAAATAAATTGCATTTCAAACAAAGTCTTTGAAGGAAAACTCCCATTTATTTAGCATGACATTCTAACTCTGACTGCATCGCAGCCAACACTGACTTCCAGACCCAAAACCCTCCCTTTCCGTTCCCCACTCCCCTGCAGTCATTGGCCATCTTCCAAGTCACTCTACCCCTAATCTACTGCTCCAGCTCAAAGGAATTTCCCCCCTCCCCTCCCATCTCCTAGGGGATATTATCTCCAGGGAAAATAAGTAGGTGAAAAGTCAAACGTCCCTTTCCAGACGCCTCCGCTTCTCCTTCTTATGTCAGCACTAGAGTAAATGCAGCTTGGAGTGTTGACACCGAGATGCTTTGCATGTTGCATATTTCCTTGGTCCTGCGCAGGGCTAACTAATGTCCGGTTATTAAGGAAAGGAAAGGAGGCCGGGATTGGGCAAAGGAAGAGGAGTTACCTTTTGCGGAAGGCTGTGTGGTTGTAGTATCGACAGCCTGCTCTCTTTTTGCACTTATATTGCCACAGGAGACAGGTTGTGTCGATGGCACTGCCGTAGATTACGGGCGCAGGCAGCCAGGCTGAGAAAGAAGCAAAGGGTGTGTATATATGTGTATATATATATATATATATATATATATATATATATATATATATATATATATATAGAGAGAGAGAGAGAGAGAGAGAGAGAGAGAGAGAGAGAGAGAGAGAGAGAGAGATAGTCCTTGATTTACGACAGTTCATTTAGTGACCGTTCAAAGTTACAACGGCACTGTAAAAAAGTGACTTATGACCATTTTTCACACTTAACGACCGTTGCAGCATCCGCAGAGCCACGTGATCAGAATTCAGAGGCTTGGCAACTGATTGATATTTATGACGGTCGCAGTGTCCCGGAGTCACGTGACCCCCTTTGGCGACTTTCCGATGAGCAAAGTCAACGGGGAAGCTGAATTCACTTAACAACCGTGTTACTATCCTAACAACTGCAGTGGTTCGCTTAACAATGGTGGCAAGAAAGGTCGTAAAATGGGACAAAACTCAGTTAACAAGTATCTCGCTTAGCGGCAGAAATTTGGGGCTCGGTTGTGGTCGTATGTCGAGGGCTACTTGTACATTTCCTGCTGCTGCCAGATGCTTGTTTTTCCAGGAAGTGCCTGAACCTGTGAAGCATGGCTACATGGAGGCCACCCCTTTGGTGTCCTGCCCCAGGTTCCTAAAATGTACTGTATTTTTCAGAGTATAAGACGCACCTTTTTCCCCCCTAAAAGGGGGTGAACATTTAGGTGCATCTTATACACTGAACGTAGCCCCGCCCATCCACTGGCCCCCACCCTTTGGCCTCTGCCTCCCAGCAATTTACCTCTTGCAAGCAAACAGCAAACAGTCCATTTCAGCTTCAGCACAGCCTGATTAGCACAAGTTGATTGTCTGTTGGATCGGCCTCCCGTGCGCAGGCCTCTGCTGCTTGCTGCAAGGAGGTAAATTGCTGGGAGCAGATTTTTTTTCTTCTTCTTGTGCTAATCAAGCTACACTGAAAATGAAAACGAAAGTAAAGCAGGCTGTTTGCTGCAACAGGGCAAAATTGCTGGGAGGCAGAGGGAGATTTCTTTTTCTTCTTTTCCTCACCAAAAAAGGTAGGTGCGTCTTATAGTCCGGAGCGTCTTATATGCCGAAAAATACGGTAATTTCTGTCCTGGGGACTCGTCTGATCTTCTTTAAACTGGGGAAATGCAGCCTTTGCTTCCTGCCGCTCCCGGCCCAGAACTTTCCGAGGTGCTGAAGCTGCAGGTGGCTGGATCCGCTCAGCTGGGTGGGTGGGGGTTCAGCCCTTGCTACTTTCCCATCCCAGGAGGGAAGGGAAAGGGAAGGGAAGGGAAGGGAAGGGAAGGAAAGGAAAAGGAAGGGAAGGGAAGGGAAAGAAGGAAAGGAAAGGAAAGGAAAGGAAAGGAAAGGAAAGGAAAGGAAAGGAAAGGAAAGGAAAGGAAGATAGGAAGGAAAGGAAAGGAAGGGAAAGGGAAAGGAAAAGGAGGAAGAAAGAAAAGGGGAGGGAGGGAGGAAAGAAGGAAAGGAAAGGAAAGGAAGATTGAAAGGAAAGGAAAGGAAAGGAGAAAGGAAAGGAAGATAGGAAGGAAAGGAAAGGAAGGGAAAGAAAGGGAAAGGAGGAAGAAAGAAAAGGGGAGGGAGGGAGGAAGGAAGGAAAGGAAAGGAGAATGGAGGGACGGAAGGAGGAGGAAGTAGAAAGAGGGAGGAAGGAAGAGGGGATGGGAGGAAGGATGGAGAAAAGAGAAGGAGGAAAAGGGAGGGAAGAAGGGAAGGGGGAGGGAGGGAAGGGAAAGGATGGAGCCTGGCACAAACCTCCTTGGCAGATTAGAGTCGGCAGAGAACTGGCCACGTCTGAGGCCCTGGGATGATAACACCAACCCGGCACCGGTCTGATTTTTTTAAAAAAAATTTCACACATTTGTTTAATCCTAAATTTGCTTCTTAGATGGCTAACCCCAGCCTGTATTTCAGCGCCAGCCCAGAATTCCCGACGGAGCTGGGCCTTGCAAGTTGACTTACCGAGAACCCTCAGGAGCAGAAACTGTAGGCCCAGGGCGAACGATTTGTCTTGTCTCTTGACGCTCCTGAAACCCCCAAGGGAAAAAAAAATTGGTTGGGAATAAATACGCACGTGGGGCTCTCCGGGGATGCGAATTTGAGGGTCCCCGACAGATTTACGGGCTTTGCTGTGTGGCTTCTCTGCAGAGGACCAGCGTGGGACTCGGAAGAGCTGGGAATCCGTGGATCGTTCCACGAGAGGCTCTCCACTCTTCTTGAAGGAGACCAGCCACCTTGTCTCAAAGGGGCTCTTTCAAAAGGCAACGTTTGGGCTGTGCGTTTTTCTACTCCAGGAAGAAGAAGAAGACATTTCGCTTCACATCCAAGAAGCTTCATCAGTTCTGACTGGATGGCGGTTGATGGTGATTGGATGGTTGATTGTCACAACGGATGAAACTTCTGGGATGCGAAGTGAAATTTCCTCCTCCTCGTCGTCTTCGTCCTCCTTCCTCTTCTTCCTCCTCCCTCCTCCTCCTTCCCTTCTTCCTCCTCCTCCTCCTTCTTTTTTCTCCTCCTCCTCCCTATTCCTCCTCTTCCTCCTCCTCCCTCCTCTTCTTCTTCTTCCTCCTCCTCCCTCTTCCTCCTCTTCCTCCTTCCCTTCTTCCTCCTCCTCCCTCTTCCTCCTCCTCCTTCCTCTTCTTCTTCTTCTTCCTCCTCCCTCTTCCTCCTCCTCCTTCTTCTTCCTCTTCCTCCTCCCTCTTCCTCCTCCCTCTTCCTCCTCCTCCTTCTTCTTCCTCTTCCTCCTCCTCCTCCTCCTTCTTCTTCCTCCCTCTTCTTCTTCCTCCTCCTCCTCCTCCCTCTTCCTCCTCTTCCTTCCTCCTCCTCCTCTTCTTCTTCCTCCTCCTCCTTCTTCCTCTTCTTCCTCCTCCCTCTTCCTCCTCTTCCTTCTCCTCCTCCTTCTTCCTCCTCCTCCTCCCTCTTCCTCCTCCTCCTCTTCTTCCTCCTCCTTCTTTTTCCTTCTCTTCCTCCTTCCAGAAAAAAAAAACAGTCCAGTTGCTTTTTGAAAAATCACCTTTGAGACAACGGGGATCTGGATGACTGAGAATCTCCTCCGACATCCATTCTTCTTGCTTTCTCCCAAATCAAAACTTTGGGGGACCCCTCATTGCCGGAAGGGAGCCCAAGTATGTGCAGTGGGGCTCTCGCCCCCATTTTCTGCTTCCGATCGTTGCCAGCTATTAATCCACAAGCTTCTCAGGGCAGTCTGTAAAGAATTTGGTGGCCCTTTGGAAACTGTGGTCCACAACGGTTTCTATTTCAGTTTCTCAGTGAGTGAGACCATGATGTAAATGACCCCATTGCCTATGAGTTCGAGTCCTGCCTTGGGCATGAAAGCCAGCTGGGTGACTCTGGGCCAATTACCAGGAGACTGGGAGTTCTAGTCCCGTTTTAGGCATGAAACCCGGCTGGGTGACTCTGGGCCAATTACCAGGAGACTGGGAGTTCTAGTCCCGTCTTAGGCATGAAAGCCAGCTGGGTGACTCTGGGCCAATTACCAGGAGACTGGGAGTTCTAGTCCCGTTTTAGGCATGAAACCCGGCTGGGTGACTCTGGGCCAATTACCAGGAGACTGGGAGTTCTAGTCCCGTCTTAGGCATGAAACCCGGCTGGGTGGCTTCGCACTGGTCCCTCTTTCTCAGCCTAACCCACCTCACAGGGTTGTTGTTTGTGGAAAAACAAGGAGGAAGGTGCGCTGGCTATCTTCACCGCCTTGAATTATTTCTAAAGATAATCGAGGCGTAGCACAAATAAATAAACGAACAAACGTTCCCCTTGCTTGGCTTCTTCAGCTACCTGAGAACCAGCACGAAGGCTGGCGTGTGGGAGAGGCTGCCTAAGAATCCGGATATCGCAGCAATCAGAACGAAGGGCATCAGGAAGTGGGCACAGGAAGAGCTGCAGTGGCCGGGCGCAGCGTACCCGATGGCACCGTTGACGATGATACAATTGCATTCGGTGTAATTCTGAATGGAGAAGGAGGAGAAGGTCAGGAAAGAAAGAATCAAAAGAAGAGCAGAATTACAGAAGGGACCTTGGAGATCTTCTAGTCCAACCCCAGAATTCCCCAGCCAGCTTTGTCCACAAGTCTACAAGTCTTAAAGTTCCTAAAGTTCGACACGTTTACCCTATATCAGTGATGGCTAACCTTTTTGCCATCGCGTGCCAGGAGGTGGGAGGGGGCGGGGGAGCCAGGACAGGAAGTGACGTTTTTTGCTCTCCCCAGCCTCCAGAGCCTCTCTAGGAGTCTCTGGAGGCTGGGGACAGCAAAAAACATCACTTCCTGTCCAACCTGGAGTTGGGAAATGGGCTGTTTCAAGCCTCCGGAGGGCCTCCGAGGGAGTGGGGAAGGCTGTTTTTGCCCTCCCCAGATACATAGAGAGGATCTGGAGCCAGATGAGAAAGAAAAATGGGCCTTTCCCCCCCCCACCACCCCCAGGCCCTCCGGAGGCAGGAAACAGCCTGTTTTCCTACTTCTTGTGGGTCCAGAAGGCCTGAAAATCAGGTGGCTGGCACGTGCATGCACGCCAGAGCTGAGCTGGCGTGCCCACTGATATTGTATGGTGCCATAGGTTTGCCATGACGGCCCTATATCATTTCGGACAAATGGCTGTCCAGTTTCTTCTTAAAAACTTCCAGTGATGGAACATCCACAACTTCTGGTGGCAAGCTGTTCCACTGGTTAATTGTCCTCGCTGTTAGGAAATTCCTGGTTGCTTCTTTCTTTGGTTAGTTTCCATCCGTTGCTTCTTGGGTGCTTTTAGAGAATAAGTCAACCCCTTCTTTGCTGTGAAAACCCATCAAGTACCAGAAGACAGTTATCATGCCCCCACCTACTGATAACTGCCTTCTGGTCCTTTCTTTTTTTAAATATGTAAATGAAGACTCAATCATCCAGGCCAAAACTATCTAAAAAAATTAAATAATGGCAACTGGACCAAAGTTTATGAAAACCGAGACGTTTTGTTACTCATCCACGTAACGTCTTCAGTCAAAATGATCATTTTGGGGTTGAGAGCAAGGGAGTCATTGGAACCTCCAAACTCTTTTTTTTATTATTATTATTTTTTTATTTTTAATTTGATTTATATGCCGCCCTTCTCCGGAGACTCAGGGCGGCTTACAATGCTTTTAAGCAATAGCCTTCATCCTTTTGTATATTTATACAAAGTCAGCTTATTGCCCCCACAAACTGGGTCCTCAATTTACCTGCCTTAGAAAGGATGGAAGGCTGAGTCAACCTTGAGCCTTGGCGAGATTCTTGCCATGCTGACTGCAGGGGTTTTTTCCCCAAAATGAAATGCAATATGTACCGTGTTTCCCTGAAAATATTTTTACACGTGTGCCCAATATAAGCCCTACTCCCCCCAAATAAGCCCTAATTAAGACCACGCCCATTCTTGGGTGCAGGGGGTGGGGCGAGGTGCCCTACCTATCAGGCCTTGCACACTCTGACACCTGCCTCAAATTGCAGGCCCATTTCTTCTGTGGCCACTGGCCACCGCTTGTCCATGTCATCCCTGGCCTCCCTTTCGCCGTCGGAGGTCTTCCGGAAAGTCCTCTGCAACCAATTACAGAGCTCTGGATCCAGAGCTGTGTTATCGGCTGCAGAGGGCTTTCCGGAAGGCCTCTGACGGCGAAAGGGAGGCCAGGGACAACACGTACGAGCGGCGGCAAGCGGCCGCAGAAGAAGTGGGCCGGTGGTGGGATCCTGCTGGGTGGGGCTGTCGGTGTTACCACGGCGAGGTGAGTCAGTAATTAGACCCCTCCCCCCAAAAAATAAGACCGGGTGCCTTTTTTGTTGGGGAAAAAAATAAGACCAGGTCTTATTTTTGGGAAAACACCCTAAATGAAGATAAATGTAAATACAAGAAAGGTGCATTTGTTTTTAATCCTCTTTCCAACCAGAAAGCAGAAAGGGAACTTCTACGTACCATGACGGCCCTGGTGATGGGATTGATGTTGATTTTGATGCAGCCCGCAAAGCAAGGGGAGAGGTATTCCATGCGGTCCTGCCCACAAACCGGGTTGAAAAAGGAGAGCGAACAATTGCACTTAAGGTTGCAAGGCGTAATCAGCTGCCAAGGTCCCGAACTATGAAAGGGGAAATATATATCTATATCTATATCTATATCTTCAAGACCGCCTTCTACCGCATACCTCCCAGCGACAGGTAAGATCCCACAGAGTTGGTCTCCTCCGGGTCCCGTCAGCTAAACAGGGCCTTCTCTGTAGCTGCCCCAGCTCTCTGGAACCAGTTACCTCCTGAGATCCAGACTACCCCCACCCTATTGGCCTTCCGGAAAGCAGTGAAGACCTGGCTTTTCCGGCAAGCCTGGGGCCCTTGATCTCGCTGTTGCAATCTTGCGAGATCCGGCCATGAATGGTGTGCATGGGTTTTTAATGTTTTAAAAATGTTTTTACAATGTTTTTAAATAATTTTTCTATGTTCATTGTTCGCATTATTTTTGCTGTAAGCCACCCAGAGTCCCTCGGGCGTTGGGCGGCATAGAAATGCGATAAATTAAATTAAATTATCTATATCTATATCTATATCTATATCTATATCTATATCTATATCTATATCTATCTATCTATCATCTATCTATCTATCTATCTATCTATCTATCTATCTATCTATCTATCTATCTATCTTCTGTTTATATATAACACCACCGTCACCATGTGCTTTACTGCTCAACCGGTTTACTGTTTTAACAAGAAACAGGAAACTCTACTTAGAAAAAAAGAGCACAGAGTACATACCATAGATCCAAACTTGTAAACACTGCCATCTACTGGCTGAATACTACTGTAGTTGTTGCACAAAAAATACAACAATACAACATATATCACGTAGTCTGAACTAGGCTTTTGAGCACCAGCACATGGCAATAGGCGGATTTTATTAGCTCCGCTCATTATCTTAAAAAGAAAAACTTTATTTATTGACTGTATCGGCTGCAGTTGGTTTAAATCTGCAAAACACACTTTTTTCAAGGTAGATTTTGAGATTTGCTCAATCCCCAAAAAATTCAGAGGAAGAGGGATTTACAGGTAGTCCTCGACTTACAACAGTTCATTTAGTGACCATTTGAAGTTGCAACAACACAGAAAAAAGTGACAGGACCATGGTCACATGATCAAAATTCAAACGCTTGGTAACTGACTCATATTTATGACGGTCGTAGTGTCCCGGGCTCACGGGATCCCCTTTTGCGACCTTTGGACAAGCAAAGACAACAGGGAAGCCAGATTCACTTAACAACCGGGTGACTAACTTAACAACTGCACTGATTCCCTTAACAACTGTGGCAAGAAAGGTTGTAAAATGGGGCAAAACTTACTTAGCAAATGTTTCACTTAACAACAAAAATATCGAGCTCGATTGTGGTCATAAGTCGAGGACCACCTGTATTTTTTTCTCTCCAGTGATTCAGGGTCTTTTTCTAAAGATTCTCTAAACCGGGTGTCAGCAACCCGTGGCTCCGGAGCTGCATGCGGCTCTTTGGGCCCTCTTGTGCGGCTCCCTGTCCCATCACTGGCTGGCCCCGCCCCTCACCCTCCCCTCCCAGTCACTCCTCGCCTGGCCTTGGAAATCCGAGAGACAGAGAGAGAAGGGGAGAGAGGGAGAGAGAGAGACATAGAGAGATACAGAGAGAGGGGGGGAGAAAGGGAGAGAGAGAGACATAGATACAGAGAGAGAGACAGAGACAGAGAGGGGGGGGGAGGGAGAGGAGGAGAGAGAGAGACAGAGAGATACAGAGAGGGGGGAGAGAGGGAGAGAGAGAGAGATACACACAGAGAGAGAGAGAGACAGAGAGAGATACAGAGAGAGAAGGGAGAGAGGGAGAGAGAGAGACATAGATACACAGAGAGAGAGAGACAGAGAGAGGGGGAGAGGGAGAGGAGAGAGTGAGACATAGAGAGATACAGAGAGAGGAGGGAGAGAGGGAGAGAGAGAGACATAGATACAGAGAGAGAGAGAGACAGAGAGAGGGGGGAGAGGGAGAGGAGGAGAGAGAGAGACAGAGAGAGATACAGAGAGAGGGGGAGAAAGGGAGAGAGAGAGACATAGATACAGAGAGAGAGAGAGAGACAGACAGAGAGAGGGAGAGAGAGAGACATAGATGCAGAGAGAGAGAGAGAGACAGAGAGAGGGGAGAGAGGGAGAGAGGGAGAGAGAGACATAGATACAGAGAGAGAGAGAGATACAGAGAGAGGGGGGAGAGGGAGAGGAGGAGAGAGAGAGACATAGAGAGATACAGAGGGAGGGGAGAGAAAGAGAGAAAAGGTTTTTGTGGTTCCCGGTGTTTTTTAACAACCGAGCATGGCTGGCTCGGGAATTCTGGGAGTTGAAGTCTACGAGTCACAAAAGAGGCCGTCCTTCCTCGCCCCTGATCTAAATAGAGGTAGTCCTCAACCGACATAGGTTTGATTTAATGAACCACTGAAGAATCATGGCAATACAGGTGACTCGCTTAACAACAATCGCTTTGCTCAGCGACCATAATTCTAGTCTCAGTTGTGGCCGCAAGTCAAGGACTACCTGTACAACGCCGATTCGAGACACCCCCCCCCCCCCGCCGAGCTGGCGTACCTTCCGGAGTAATCCAGCCCTGCGATCCTCTGGGTGGGACACCCCATGAAGAGTAAGGGCACGTCGAAGAGGGCACAAAAGGCCATGCTGATGATGCACATGAGGGTCGCTTGCTGGAGAGAGAAATGGCAGCTCTTCATGAGGGCACCGCCAAGGATGATTCCCAGCATGGCCCCCGGGATGTTGACGGCTCCTGCGGGGCGGAGGGAGAGAGCACAAAGGGAATGTTTAGGGCTGCCCCCCAAAGAAAAGGGGGTCAGGTTATTTTCCAAAGCACCTGAAGCCAAGACAAGGAACAACAGATGGAAACTCATCAGGGAGAGAAGCCGCCTGGAATTGAAGAGAAGCTTCTTAACAGTGAGGACAATTAACCAGTGGAACTGCTTGCCACTAGAAGTTGTGGGTGCTTCAACACCGGAGATTTTTAAGAAGAGACTGGACAGTCACTTGTCTGGAATGGTCTAGGTTCTCCTGCTTGAGCAGGGGGTTGGACTACAGTGGTGGGTTTCAAAATTTGTTACTACGGGTTCTGTGGGTGTGGCTTGGTAGGCGTGGCATGGCTTGGTGGGCGTGGCATAGGAAGGATACTGTAAAATCTCCATTCCCATCCCACTCCAGGGGAAGAATACTGTAAAATCTCCATTCCCTCCCCAATCCAGGGGAAGAATACTGTAAAATCTCCATTCCCTCCCCAATCCAGGGGAAAGTTACTGCAAAATCCCCATTTCCTCCCAATCAGCTGGGACTCGGGAAGCAGAGAATAGATGGGGGGCGGGGCCAGTCAGAATTTTTACTACCGGTTCTCCGAACTACTCAAAATTTCTGCTACCGGTTCTCCAGAACTAGTCAGAACCTGCTGAAACCCACCTCTGTTGGACTAGAAGACCTCCAAGGTCCCTTCGAGCACTATTCTGAACCGGATTGAATTGGGTATATCTGGTATGGTGAATAGAAGGACTAGGGGGGGTGACATGATAGCAGTGCTCCAATATTTGAGGGGCTGCCCCAAAGAAGAGGAGGGGGTCCACTTATTCTCCAAAGCACCTGAAGGGCAGGACAGGAAGCGACGGGTGGGAAACTAATCAAGGAGAGAAGCAACCTGGAATGAAGGAGAAACTTCCTAACAGTGAGGACAATTAACCAGTGGAACAGCTTGCCACCAGAAGTTGTGGCAGTTGCTCTATCACTGGAGATTTTTAAGAAGAGACTGGACAGTCATTTGTTTGTCATTGATACATTGTCATTGTATCTCCAGTTTGAGCAGGGGGCTGGACTAGAAGACCTCCAAGGTCCCTTCCAGCTCTATTTTGATTCTGATTCTGAATGTCGCACCTGCAGTGACTGGGATCCCAGACTCCCAGTTGGTACTAGGCTGGGAGGCGAGTTGTAGATTTTGGGTTTGTGGAAGTCCTACCCTGATGGGCTACGGCCATGTACGGAGCGGACACACTGTGACTACTTCAATTAACCAAATATAGGTCATCTTTGATTTACAGCAAAATTTCAAATAATAAAGGCGGGATATATATTAGATAAAGAACGAACTACTGTATATATGGGAACAATAGTAGAAGGGTTTGGACTCAAAAGGGGAAAACGAAGGCTGCCATATCAAATGCCCAGAGTCGTTTTGATATAAGTAGTCCTTGACTTACAACAGGTTGAGAAACACTGATTTAGGGACTGTTCAAAGTTACAACAGCACTGAAAAAAAGTGACTCATAACTATTCTTCACACTTACGACCCTTGTAGCATCCCCACGATCACTTCGTTGACATGTTGGCAACTGACTCGTATTTATGACAGTTGCAGTGTCCGGGGGTGATGTGATCCCCTTTTGCGACCTTCCGATGCGTGAAGTCAATGGGAAAGCCAGGTTCGCTTAACAACGGGTTACTCACTTAACACCTGCAGTGATTCACTTAACAACTGTGGCAAGGGAGGTGGTAAAGCGGGAGCAAGATTCACCCGACAACTGTCTCGCTTAGCAACAGAAGTGTTGGGGCTCAATTGTGGTCGTAAGTCGAGGACTACCTGGAAATATTCATGAGCTAGTCCCAGAGTTGCTTTTTCAAGAAGCCCCTTTGGGACAACCACGAATTGGATGACTGAGAATCTCCAGAGACCCCCTGGCCCTTACCTAGGATCATGTTGGCCACGGATGCTGACAGAGTAAATTGCTGCTCCAGGAATTTAGCCAGGAAAGTGGATAAACCAGCAATCATGGCCGAAAGGTTAACCATCGCAAAAACCACCATGACGAAAATCGGATTCTTGAGATTTCTTAGCAGCACCACCGGAAACACTGCAGACATCAGAGGGAAATAGAAGAGCAAAGTTTAGCAGCAGGTGCCAAAGATAGGCAGTCCTTGAGTTACGACCACAATTGAGCTGGATATTTTTGTTGTTAAGCATTAAACATTTGCTAAGTGAGTTTTGCCCCATGTCAAGGACAAATATGTACAAGAAGTACATATTAAAAAGCAGCATGAACAAATATTGATACAGCCAAAATTAGGGAAAATATTTACTTCATTGCCACGATGTAAGAAAAGAGGAGTTGTTTTATATATTAGAGACACAACCCCAGCGGAGCAAATTTATTCAGATGATGATGGAAGAATTTTGATGGTGGAAATAGCAGATAATAATACGAAAATACTTTTAATAGCAATATACGCTCCAAATGATAATCAAGAAGAATTTTATAGAAAATCACATACGAAAATAATTGAATTGGACTATGATAATATTTGCATGATGGGAGACTTCAATGGTATAGTAGATGAGAAATTAGACTACAATACACAGAAAACAACAAAGCAAAGTAGAAAGAGCCAGATATTTTTGTTGCTAAGCATTAAACATTTGCTAAGTGAGTTTTGCCCCATGTCACAAACTTTCTTGCCACAATTGTTAAGTGAATCGCTGCAGTTGTTAAATTAGTCATGCCGTTGTTAAGTGACGGTTCAAAGTTACAACGGCACTGAAAAAAGTGACTTATGACCGTTTTCCACACTTATGACCGTTGCAGCATCCCTGTGGTCAAAATTCAGATGCTTGGTAACGGACTCGTACTTATGACGGTTGCACGTGATCCCCTTTTGCGACCAGCAAAGTAAATGGGGAAGCCAGATTCATTTAACAACCATGTTACTGATTTAACGACTGCAGTGATTCACTTTACATCCGTGGCAGGAAGAATGGGACAAGGCTCGCTCAGCAACGGAAATGTTGGGCTCCATTGTGGTCGTAAGTCTTTTCGTCCCCAAAGGACCCAGTGATTTTAAAACTATGGAAGGCGGTCTGTCCACAAAAATATAAAACGTGCAGATAGTCCTTGACTTACAACCATTTATTTAGAGACCATTCGAAGTTTCAACAGCACTGAAAAAAGCAACTTATGGCCGGTCCTCACACTTATGACTGATGCAGCATCCTCATGGTTGCATGGTCAAAATTGGGATGCCAGGATATATTTATGACGGTTGCACTGTCCCGGGGTCAAATGATCATCATTTGGTGACCTTCCCAGCCAGCTTCCGACAAGCAAAGTCGGGGGGCAATCTGGATTCGCTTAATGACCACATGATTCACTTAACGACTGTGGTGACTCGCTTAATAACCAGGGCGAAAAAAAGGTGGTCAATTGGAGTGTGACCCACTTAGCCTTGCTTAGCAACGAAAATTGGGGTCCCAATTCTGGTTGCAAATAGAGGTCTGCCTGTATCTTAAGAAGGCAATACTTTTATTTTTTATTTTTTATTTTCATTCATTCATTCATTCATTCATTCATTCATTCATTGAATTTATATTGCCACCTATTCGCCATGGTGACTCAAGGCGGCTTACAGAATATAAAATCTCATTTAAAACAAAAACTAATAAAAAGAATCAAATAAATTAATATAATATAATAAAATCACCCCCACCCTGACTCCTGCCCTGGCGACAGCCAATCACGCGAACCATTTAATGGGCTCCATCTCGCTTCCGGATGGTCTTCAAGGGCAGCCCCATGTAGAGCATGTTGCAATAGTCAAGACGAGAAGTGAGTAGGGCAGGGGTCAGCAACCTGCGGCTCCGGAGCCGCATGTGGCTCTTTCACCCCTCTGCTGCGGCTCCCTGTCACTCAAAATATGTGTCACAACAGCCAATGTGCCGGCACACGATTTACTGAGCTTTTCAACCCCTGGTAGGCCAACCATGGATAAATCCAAGAAAAGAAAAGTTTCAGAAGAAAACAGAACGTTTAATTCAACTACATATGCTAGTTTTGTGGCTGCTCAAGAAATAGTCAGGCACGGGAAGGGTTTTGTGGCTCCCGGTGTTTCCTTTTCTGGGGCATGAGTGACCGTGCATAGGGATTGTCTTCGGAAGCGAGCGAATTCGGTAGAATCCGATAAACTGGAGATTAAATCTATCCTGATGCAAAAACCACCCCCCCCACTGCTCCCTCCAGAGGAAAATTGCTGTACCTCTCTCTTGTGTCTGTGCTGCAGACATCAAATTTTAATCATTTTTCGGACAGTGAGTGCTTCAAGTACGGGGAAGCACTCTATAAACTTGGCGTGAACAATAGAGCAACGTTCAAAACCTGGAAGTTAAATCCAGCTTAGATCTCAAGCAATATTAAAAAAACATGTAAGTGAAATCTGGGGGGGGGGAAAGGACAAACGAATCTACTTTCCTATTTTTTATTTTATTTTTATTTTATTTTATTTTTTGCTGCTGGGAACGTTCAAACAATTAACCTTCAAGTTTTATAGGTCTGTGCTTGAACGAAGGGAATTTAATTGTGTTCCCATTGCCTTATCTTTGCTCACATCTCTCCTGCAGAAAAGTTGTTTGTTCCCAAATGAAGGGCATTCAAGATCTGGCAGAATTCCTGACAGGTTCAGCATCTCAGGACGGTCCTTATATATATATATATATTCGTATACAGGCAGTCCTGGACTTACGACCGCCACCGGGAGCAGCTGTTTCTGTTGCTAAGCAAGGCAGTGGTTAAGTAGGTCGCAAACTGAATGGATGACCCTTTTGTCCCCCACCCCCCGGGTTTCCTGAATGGATCAGTGGTTAAAGGAAACATTTATTTATTTATTTATTATATTTATATACCGCCCTTCTCCCGAAGGACTCAGGGCGGTGAACAGCCAAGATCAAATACATAAATATAAAAATTAAAAACAATTTAAAACCAGATTAAATACTTTGGCCCACAATTAAAAACATCCCATTAAAATCCAATTTAAAATTTAAAACCGTTAAAATTAGGCTAGCCCGGCTTGCTGGAATAACAAAGTCGTCAGGGCACGGCGGAAGGTGCGCAAGTCCGGGATCCTCCATACCTCCAGGGGCAGCTTGTTCCAGAGGGCAGGAGCCCCCACTGAGAAGGCTGTCCTCCGGGGGGTCGCCAGTCGACATTGTCTGACCGACGGCACCCCGAGGAGCCCCGCCCTGTGGGAGCGTACTGGCTGGTGGGAAGCAGTCGGTAGCAGAAGGCGGTCCCGTAAGTACCCAGGTCCTAAGCCAGGGAGCGCTTTAAAGATGTTAATCAACACCTTGAATCGCACCCGGAAACATGCGTTTCCTTTAAGGAAACATGCGGTCGTTAAGTGAGTCTGGCTTCCTCCATCGACTTTGTTTGTTGAAAGGAAGGTCACAAATGAAAATTTGCTTTTCTGCAATTCTTGAGAAAGAATCGGAATCGGTATCAGAATTAGAATTGTTAGAATTAGAATTAATTAGAATCAGAGTTGGTATTGGAATTAGAATAAATAATTGGAATTGGAATTAGAATTATTAGAATCGGAATCGGAATTGGAATTAGAATTAGAATGAAGTAGAATTAGAAAATTAGAATTAGACACACAAGGACTTGGTCTCCAGTGCAGGAGCTCTCAGTGTACATGCAAAGCAACAGAGTAATAATAATCATAATAATTACACCGATAAGATGGGGTAATAGAGAAAGACAATACAGTAGTAATGCCATAGCCATACAAGAGGGGTGAATAGACTTAGATATAAGAGTACTGAGAAATTTTCCATAATTACAACGAGCAGTGCAGCTACGTTGAGGCAACACCACGTCAAGGGGCAGCTGATTGCTGCGGTAACGTTTTAATGGCCTGGAAGGCTCTTGTCTTGAGGACTACAAACACCCCAGAGAGACATTAGCAAGAGGAGATGAAATATCTAATTACTTGTCTTGCTGTCCCTCAAGAGACCGAAAGTCAGAGCTAAAAGTCAGTTTCAGCTAAAAGTGGAAATAGAGATTTTTTTTTTTCCAGGGGTGGTAGTAACTTACTTTTCCTATCAGTTCGAAAATGTGAGCGCGTGCATCCACATGTCCCCGTCCACGCATTTGCCTGGCCTTTCGCACATGTGCTTTGCTGGCATGCGTCCCTTCCGCCTATGTGCCCAGCCTCAAAAACATGCCTAACTAGAGTGGCATAAAGCCGGAGCGTTCTGCTACCAGTTCGAGCGAACCGGTCCAAACCAATACCACCTCTGATTTTTTTTTTTCCCCCTTCTGCAGGAAAGCCTGTGTTACAGGTCATTCTTGGCGTTTGGGTCACAACTATAAAGATGTAGAGACTGTGGAAAGGGTGCAGAGAAGAGCAGCAAAGAGGATTAGGAGATTGGAGGCTAAAACGTACGAAGAACGGTTGCGGGAATTGGGTAGGTCTAGTCTAGTGAAAAGAATCTAGTCTACTCTTTGAGAAGCTGCCACAAAGAACTTATTCTCCAAAGCAACCAAAGGCAGGACAAGAAGCGACGGATGGAAACTCATCAAGGAGAGAAGCAAACTGGAATTGAGGAGAAACTTCCTAACAGTGAGGACAATTAACCAGTGGAACTGCCTGCCACCAGAAGTTGTGGGTGCTTCATCACTGGAGGTTTTCAAGATGAGATTGGACAACCACTTGTCTGGAATGGTATAGCACAGTGTTTCTCAACCTTGGAAGCTTGAAGATGGGTGGACTTCAACTCCCAGAATCCCCCAGCCAGCGCTGCTGGCTGGGGGATTCTGGGAGTTGAAGTCCACCCATCTTCAAGCTACCAAGGTTGAGAAACACTGGTATAGCATCTCCTGCTTGAGGAGGGAACTGGACTGCAAGACCTCCAAGGTAAGGGTGGGTTCTAATTTTTTTTTACTACTGGTTCTGTGGGCGTGGCTTATTTCGTGGGCGTGGCTTGATGGTCATGTGACAAACAATTCTTTAGGATTTAGCAAAGGTACTGGTCTACCAGGCTTTTAACTGCTTGCAGAGCCGTACCAGTCTACCCATTTGTTTTTCGAGCGCACTGGTCTACCACCACACTGCCTTTTACCACTGATCAGCTGTAGGGTGGCCCTTTGAAGCACCGAGGCAAGAGTTTAAACAGTTTTTTTCCTTCTAGCCGATCAGGTGGGACACGGGAGACAGCGAATAGATTGGGGGCGTGACCAGGCAGAGGTGGTAGTTACCGTTTCTCCGAACTACTCAAAATTTCCACTACCGGTTCGCAAGAACCGGGCAGAGCCGGTAGCAACCCCACCACTGCTCCAAGGTCCTTTCCTATCCTGTTATTCTATTCTCCAAAAGCACCAGAAGGCAGGACAAGAAGCAACGGATGGAAACTGATCAAGGAGAGAAGCAACCGGGAACTGAGGAGAAACTTCCTAACAGTGAGGATAATTAGCCAGTGGAACAGCTCGCCACCAGACGTTGTGGCTGTCCCAACACTGGAGGCTTTTAAGAAGACATTGGACAGCCATTTGTCTGAAACGGTGTAGGATCTCCTATTTGTGCAGGGGGCTGGACTCGAAGACCTCTAGAGTCCCTTCCAACTCTGTTATTTTGCTAACAGGAGAGAAGAGCAAGAGCAGCACCTCCGAAACAGCTTTTGGCCACTAGGAAGAATAAAATACTGACTTTGTGCCACAACAGCAGTTATTCCTAACTCCATATCCCAAGAGCAGGGAGGGAGGGAGGGAGGGATCTTAAATTTCTCATTTTGGAGCAAGCTGTACTTGGCAATCAATACTCCGAGGCTGTGTGTTAACGCAAAAGAGGCCTATTTTCTCTCTCTCTCTTTTTTTTTACATATTTGGAAGGACCGAGCTCCATAAATACAGGTTTCCTGCCTCGTGGCAACGGAAGGACTTTAAATCAAACTGCCCTCTTTTTAATACGGATAAGAGGCCTCCTAAATTTTGTTCTTCTTGCAATTTTCCTTGTTCCTTTTCATTAGGGCCATTTATCTTTCTTCTGTTTAAAATCTGTACCTTTGAAAAATGGAAGCTTCGGGCATTAATTTAGGACGGTTGGAATTAACGTGTCAGGAGTGTTAATGAGCCCGGGAGCCATAGATAGGGATTTATATATAATTCACATTGGAAAGGAGTGTGAATTAAACATAAATAAAGGAAGATCCATATCCTTGGTTGGCTTAGGGACGGCGCTCTGCTGTGTCCAGAAAGCCGGAGAAAAATGGGAGGTGAAGGTTTAATCTATCGATTAGAAGAGATATGGGTGTTCAATTTACGTTCTTGGGAAATCTCAGCGAGGAACCCAGTGTTCTTTCTTTATCAGGGTTTTATCTATTCGGCCTTTTTTAATCATTTTTTTAAACCGGAGAAACAAAATTTCCAAGACCAAAAGTGACTTAGAGAATGCAGGAAAATAAACTTAAGGAGAAAAAAAAAAGAAAAAGAAAAGTGAATGAGAAAAAAAAAACCCAAGAAAGGAGCCTCACAATATTAGCAAGTTGGTTGTGGCGAGTTATTAAAAATAGAAATAGAATAACCGAGTTGGAAGGGACCTTGGAGGTCTTCTAGTCCAACCCCCTGCTCAAGCAGGAAACCCTTCACCACTTCAGACAAATGGTTATCCAACATCTTCTTAAAAACTTCCAGTGTTGGAGCATTCACAACTTCTGGTGGCAAGCTGTTCCGCTGGTTAATTGTCCTCACTGTCAGGAAATTCCTCCTTAATTCCAGGTTGCTTCTCTCCTTGATTAGTTTCCATCCGTTGCTTCTTGTCCTACCCTCAAGGTGCTTTGGAGATTAGCTTGTCCCAGAGGTGAAATCCAGCAGGTTCTGACAGGTTCTAGAGAACCGGTAGTGGAAATTTTGAGTAGTTCGGAGAACCGGCAAATGCCACCTCTGGCTGGCCCCAGGAGTGGGGAGGGAATGGAGATTTTGCAGTATCCTTCCCCCTGCCATGCCCACCAAGCCACGCCCACAGAAAGTAGAAAAAAATTGGATTTCACCACTGGCTTGACCCCCTCTTCTTTGGGGCAGCCCCTCAAATATTGGTAGACTGCTATCATGTCACCCCGGTCCTTCTTTTCATCAAACTAGACATGCCCAGTTCCTACAACCGTTCTTCGTATCTTTTAACCTCCAAATCCCCTCATCATCCTGGTTGCTCTTCTCTGCACTCTTTCTTAGAGTCTCCACATCCTTTTTTACATCGTTGGCCATGGTGAGTTGGGCGCAGCGAATGGGCTGTGTGGCGCATTGTGTCCCATTGCACCTCGGAGCGAGTGAGGATTTTGTGAGCCCTCCAGATCAGGGGTCTCCAACCTTGGCAACTTTTAAAACTTGTGGACTTCAACTCCCAAAGCTTTGCTGGCGGTGGAACTCTGGGAGTTGAAGTCCACAAGTCTTAAAAGTTGCCAAGGTTGGAGACCCCTGCTCCAGATGAATGACCGATGAAGAAACCTGCCAGGTGAGTTGGCCCACCTGGGCCAAAGACTTACTTTTGATGAACTGAAAGAGAGTGAAGCCTTCCTCCTCCGGGGTCTTATCTTTAAGCTTCTCGGCGACTTCTTCCTTCGTCATGTCCCCAATGTTTTTTCGTGCGGCCTCATCCTAGGAGGGAGGGAAACTGAAAATTCAAAATGGAAAAGGACCAGGCCATCTTCTAGGAGACTTTGTCCCGGGGCAAGGGTTCTGAAAAGGGATCGTGTGACCCCGGGACACTGCGACCGTCATAAATATGGGTCAGTTGTCAAGCGTCTGAATTTTAATCATCGGACCAAGTGGGTGTTGCAACGGTCGTAAGTGTGAGAAACGGTCCTAAGTCCCTTTCTTCAGTGCCATTGTAACTTCGAACGGTCACTAAATGAATGGTCGGAAGTCAAGGACTGCCTATATCAAAACGACTCTGATATTGCAACCTTCTTGTTTCCTCCTTTTGACCCCCAACCCTTCTACAGTTCCCGTGGAGTTATTTATTTATCTAATTTGTATCCCACTGTAGAAAGTTAGCACCCACCCCTCTCCTAGAAGAATGAAATATTCTGAGAAATATGAAAAAGGCAGAATATTATATTTCCCTGGATGAGAAATGGAGAAACGTGGTTTTTTTTAGAGGCAGGAAGCAGACTCAATGGCCCCCACCTTCCTTAATAGCCCTCAGCAGATGTCAGCATTAAGAGATAGAGATAGATAGCTCTATTCATAAGCAAATACCTTCACCCAAGATCCAACAAAGGTAGGATTAGCCCTTAGTCACAATAGGAATTGCCCAACAAGACCCTTCATTGCATCAGCAGTCCAAACTTCAACCAAACCTGGGAACTCAGACAACCAACAGAACCAGCTATGACCCCTACAACAGCCAATAGAATACATGTTCTTGCACAGGAACAGGAAGCTCAAGTGCAAAGCCCAAACAACAAAAATACCTACATGGTTGGAGAAGATGATACAACAACATATTGATCTGAAACCCGAAATATTTTTGTTGGGGATTTTACCAGAGACTTATAGTAAAGAGCATGTATATTTGATTTTTTTGTGTAATAACTGCAGCTAGGATTGTATTTGCACAAAATTGGAAAAGTGAAGAGATTCCTACAGATGAGAATGTGATTAGGAAAATATTAGAATGTGCAGAAATGAATAGGTTAACACTTGCAATTGAAGAGAAGGAACACAATGAATATTATAATGTAGGGGAACTATTCTACCGACGGCTAGAGAATAAATATGAAAGTTAGAAATAAAAGTAGACTAGCGAAATACAAAAAATATCTATTAATAGAATTAAATAAGTTAAGAAGAGAATTGTTACAGTATTAGACGTGCAATGTATATCAATATTAAGTTTAAGAATAGATAAATAATGAATACGGCTGTAAATTTCAACTGTTATTGCACAAGACATTTTTACCCAGACAACACACTGTTTAATGGAAGTTGGATTGTTTGTATTATAATAAAATTTTTAAAAAATCAAAAAAGAAAAAGTGCAAAGCCCAAGTGAAGGTATAAACCCCCATCCACACACCCCCTCAACTCCATGTTTTCAGCTGCACCAGAGAACCATGGGCTTGGTGGTCCTGCTTCACCATTAAACCATCTTTCCAATCAGCCTCCGTGTTTCCAGTGTCTTTTTCTCCCGGCTTGGAACTGAACCAGATTTCTTCCATCACCACCTTTATTATTTTTAGCAATGTCCCAAAATTGCTTTTTCCAAAAAAAGACGGCTAGACTTTCTTAATTTTCTTGAAAGCCTTTCGTTTCACATCCAAGGAGCCTCTTTGGAACCACCGTTTTTTTTAAAAAAAAAACAAACAAACTTATTACGGGGCTTTAGAATAAGAGGCTGAGGGAAGGCGATAGGTTATCTCTGGCTGTTAATGAGAAGCGAGAGATAGCAAGCCAGCCAGCCAGAAGGCTAAGGAAGGCCTCGGCCAGAGGCAGCTGCGTTGGATTCGTATAAAAGAGGCTCTCGTGATGTTCCGAAATGGTTGCAAACGCTCTAAAAATAAAAGAGGAGATGCAATTTGCGATAAAGCGTTTTTAGAAGGTTTCAGCATGTCTAGAGACGCTGAGAAGCAGCTAGAAAGGAAGGGAGAAAATTACATAATCGAGCAGAGGGAGAAGGAGCCCAGTCCCAAGCATACGAAAATCAAAACGTCCTTAGAGAAAAGGGGCTGCCAGCTACGGTGGAAACAAATACGTAGATTTTAAGCCACAATCCCAGCGGAGATGACTCGTCAAGGAACCACTTGATAGAACTAATCGAAGAGAATCAATGTCGCTCAGGGTTGCGCACTGGAGTCCTTGGTGTTCTCTGAGCAGGGTTGTTTTCCTGCAGACGTTTCATTACCCTGGTAGGTAATGTCATCAATGCTAGAAGGGTGGGGGGGGATTGTGGAATGGAGAAGGAGGAGGAGGAGGAGGAAGAAGACTGTGGGATCTCGGGTGCTCTCTGAGCTCGGTGGTTTTCTTGCATATGTTTCATTATCCTAGTAGGTAACGCCATCAATGCTAGAAGGATGGGGGGATTGCAGGAAGGAGGAGGAGGAGGACGAGGAGGAGGAGAAGAAGAAGAGGAGGAGGAAGAGGAGGAGGAGGAGGAGGAGGAGGAGGAGGAGGAGGAGAAGAAGAAGAGGAAGAAGAAGAGGAGGAGGAGAAGAGGAGGAGGAGGAGGAAGAGGAGGGAGGAGGAGGAGAAGAAGAAGAGGAGGAGGAGGAGGAGGAGGAGAAGAAGAGGAAGAAGAAGAGGAGGAGGAGGAGGAAGAGGAGGGAGGAGGAGGAGAAGAAGAAGAAGAGGAGGAGAGGAGGAGGAGGAGGAGGAGGAGGAGGAAAATTGTGGGGTCCTTGGTGCTCTCTGAGCTTGGCTGCTTTCTTGTACACATTTCATTACCCACCAGGTCACCTGAGTAGTGCTAATGGTTCCTGTAGTCTGCAATTTTTCTGGAAATCCGTTCATACTCCCATACCATTCAAAGGGTGTCCATCCCAAATGTCATAGCTAAAAGACCCTGAGGACTCCGAATGACCTCCAAACGGCCTCAACGACACCCTAAAAGGATGCCAATGACCAGCTGTCTGCAAGGAATATAAGTCCTTCCATTCCCCACCATCCAAGTCAGAGCTGAGGAAGCTTCTTGGATGAGAAGCGAAACGTCTTCAAAAGAAAAAAAACAAGGAAGTCCAGTTGCCTCCTGAAAAGAAACAGCACCTTTGGGACAACCGGGACCTGCAGGATGGAGCATCTCTACAGACTTTTAAAGTGTATAAAGTATGTGCTCTTTAAAGGCAAGAGCTACCACATTCCTTATTCTTTGACGCAAAATAAAAGATGAAAGAATTCACGGTGCTATCTATAGAACTAAATCTCGCGGAGGAGACGGATACCTTCCGATGACTTTTGGAGATATATATATATCCACCCCTTTGATCAGCGATAAAGGTAAAAGGTTAGTTAAAGGCCAGGTTGTGTAATGTCATGTGTTAAGTTTACGACAGTAGCTCCGGTTCTGCATTCAGACTGGGGAGGTGAGAACAGAACTGAACGACAGAGTGAGAAACTCGAGGGAGGAAGGATTGGAGAGAACATTTCCAGGGAGAGGTCCAAGCAGAAAGATAGAGAGGGAAGATGGTCCTGCAGATGGGTGATAAGGGAGGTGGTTGTCGATGCAGAATTAATCACAAAGGTTCTGGGTAGAAATCGGGGCTGCCATCACTCTGCAGAAGTCTGTGGCTATCCAAGGTCACATCGATGAACAGCAGGTAAACGATGGCACCGAAAGCAGGAGCTCTCTCACCTTTTTGTGGTGTTAGAAGAACTATCCTTCTGGGTTCAGCTCCAAGTGGGGAAAAAGACACTGGAAACATGGAGACTGCTTGGAAAGATGGTTTAATGGTGGACAGGATCACATGGTTTGAGTTCCTGAGCAGAAAAAGGGGCGAGAAGCAGCGAGTCCCCTGGTTTTATGCCCTCTCTGGCTTTGAACTTCCTGGGGCCCCGAAAGAGTATCCTGATTGGTTGTCAGACTCCCAGGGGGTGGGGGTCTTAGCTAGCCTTGCTGGTTGATGTGGTGCGATGTGGTGAGTTTCTGTTGCTAGATGGGTCCTATTGTGTTGCATATGATGGTCCATTGACAAAGGGTGGGGGGGGCAGGAAGGTGGGAGCTGCTTTGTCTCTAAAACATGCTTCTCCATTTCTCATACAGGGAAACATAATATTCTGCCTTTTTAACATTTCCCAAAATACTCCATTCCTCTAGGAAAGGGGTGGGTGCTAACTTCCTACAGTGGGAAGCCAAGTCACCCAACCTGAAGAGGGGCTCGTGAAAGCTCAGTTGATCCTTTGAGGTGGCCAGGAATCTCCAGGGGACCAAAGCTGAAGGAATCTGGCCAAGTTTGCCACTGGAGATGCCACGAAGGAAGAGATTGAAAAATGGTGCATGGGCACCAACGGAACAGCTTCCCGATAGGAGAGAATATTTGGAGCTCAGGGTCTAAGCGAGGGGGTCCTTGGTGCTCTCTGAGCTTGGTGGTTTTCTTGCAGACGTTTCATGACCCAACTAGGGAACATCATCAATAATAGAAGGAAGTTGGGTTTGTAGAGTGGAAGAGGAGAGGAGGAGGAGGAGGAGGAGGAGGAGGAGGAGGAGAATTGTGGAGTCCAGTTGCCTCCTGAAAAAGCACCTTTGAGGCAACCAGGACCTGGATGACGGACAATCTCTACAGGCAAACTAGGATTGCATTGGCCTTTTTTGGCTGCTGCCGCACACGGCTAACTCATATTTAAGAGCTAGTCCACTAGGACTCCAAGCTCCCTCTCGCAGTTACTACTATTGAGCCAGGTACCACCTATTCCAGGGATGGCTAACCTTTGTGCTGTCGCGTGCCAAAAGCGTGGGGAGTGGGGGGGGTTGCGCACCCATAATTCAATGCGCCCCATCACCCCCTGTGCATGTGCGTGCGACACCCCCCCCCCCCCGTGCGATGCCTGCCTTTGGCACGCAATGACACGGTGGTCCCGGTAGGCCCATTTTTTCCCCTCCCCAGGCTCCAGAGGCTGTCTTGGAGCCTGGGGAGTGCAAAAACAGCCCTTCCCCCCCGGAGGCGCTCCGGAGGCCGGAAATGGCCCGTTTCCCAACTTCCGTTTCCACCTGGAAAGACTCTAGAGCCTGGGGAGAGTGAAAAACAGGCTTTCTGGTCCCACCGGAAGTCAGCAAACGGGCTGTTTCCGGCCTTCGGAGGGGCCCCGGGGAGGGGGGGAGGCCATTTTTGCCCTTCCCAGGCTCCTAGAAAGCCTCTGGAGCCTGGGGAGAGTGAAAAATGAGCCTTCACCTCCACCCCCGGAGGCCCTCCGGAGGCCGGAAACAGCCTGTTTCCTGACTTCCGGTGGGCCTGGAAGGCCCGAAAATCAGTTGGATGGTGCCGGACCTGAGCTAGGGCAATGCTCGTGTGCCCACCGATATGGCTCTGTTGTGGCCCGTTAGCGGCCTGTGCAGCTAGTAGCTGATTCCGACAGCGAGGAGGCTGGTGTGGTCCTGCACCAGCAGCCTGTGCAGCTGGCACTCGAGTCAGACAGCGAGGAGGCTGGAGAAGATGTGGTGCCAGAGGCGGGGATTCAGCCAGGGCCTTCAGAACCTCCAGAAGCTCCCATAAGTGAAGAGGAAGAAGAGGAGGAGCCTCTTCTCGATGCACGGGCGCACGGAGCGGCCAAAAGGCAGGAGTGGCTCCTCAGGAGGAGGTCTCCTCGAGAGTAAGGCTTGGGGCTAATTGGCCACTCCCTTAGCCTATTTAAGGTCCTATGCCATGGAGCGCTTTAAAGGTGGTAACCAACACCTTGAATCGCACCTGGAAGACAGGAGGGGTGTCATGTGGGCACAACGAGTTGCGCCCATAACCACCCGCGCGGCCGCATTCTGGACCAGTTGGAGCCTCCAGGTGCTTTTCAAGGGGAGCCCCATGTAGAGAGCATTGCAGTAGTCCAGTCGGGAGGTGACAAGGGTGTGAGTGACTGTGTGGAAGGCGTCGCGGTCCAGAAACTGGCGGATCAGGCAATCCTTACCTTTCTCACTATTGAATTCGACGGAAGACCAAGGATCCAGGAAGAGTCCTTCAAATAAGGATCTTGAAGATGATCTTATAGGATCTCTTGTCACGTGAGATATTTTATTTTCTAAGTGACGAGGAGCTTCACCTAATAAGCCTTCAATCAACCAACCCAGCTGACATGCGGCAACGATGGTTTTGACGTTGTCCGGTGAGTTCTTACCTCTTTTGGCATTTCTCTCGGGAAGAAAAAATAAGGGATCGAGGCGAGGGCCACCGTGCTGGCGGCAAAAATGAAGCCGAGCCACCAGGCCCCAACCCAACGGGGATCCTTGTTAGTGATGTGGACTTCCGCTGAAACATAACCAAAGGAGAGAGGAACTAAGCCAACTTGAAATCACTGGTTAAACCATGGGTGGCGCTGAGCTAGAGATCAGAAGGGCTACCTCGGTTTCCCCAACGTTTTGAGAAGTGTGGTAATCCCAAAGGTGCTTTTCCAAAAGGCAATTGGACTTTCTTGGGGTTCCCCCCCCCTTGAGGACGTTTTGCTTCTCATCCAAAAAGCTTCTTCAGTTCTGGACTGAAGAACTGAGGAAGCTTCTCGAATGAGAAGCGAAACCTCTAAGAATCAGGGATGTGTGTAGGAAGGGGTCAAAAACAATTGGAGGTCAAGGTTTCCCAGTTGTTGATGTCCATTCCCAGGGCCTTTAGGTCCCTCTTGCAGATATCCTTATATCGCAGCTGTGATCTCCCTCTGAGGTGCTTTCCCTGCACTAATTCTCCATACAGGAGATCTTTCGGAATCCGACCATCAGACATTCTCACGACATGCCCCAGCCAGCACAGACGTCCCTGTTTCAATAGTGTACACATGCTAGAAATTCCGGCATGTTCCAAACTATGGAACCACTGATGGTGTTACCTAGTTTGGTAATGAAACGTCACTGCCACCATCATGACATCGCCACCTGTCATCACCATCCCATCCTGATCCTCAACGATGATGGACGTGGGGGATTTCTTTTCGCAGAAATTAGGCCCAGGTTAGGTAGAAGGTTTGTCAACTCACCTGAAGAAACTTTGTCGATGTCGACATAGAAACGGAGCATAAACGATCCCAAGATGAAGGCGACGGCCGGACCGAGTGCGGTGGCAGCAAAAATAAACCCTGGGCAGAAGAGACCAAAAAAAAAAAAAGGATTTCTTTGGAAGAATAGAAAATGTGGGACAAACAGGAAGAATAGAATGAAATAAGAATAGAATAGAATAGAATTCAGAATGAATAGAATAGAATAGAATAGAATAGAATAGAATAGAATAGAATAGAATAGAATAGAATAGAATGAATTCAAAATGAATAGAATAGAATAGAATAGAATTCAGAATGATAGAATAGAATAGAAATAGAATAGAATAGAATAGAATAGAATAGAATAGAATAGAATAGAATTCAGAATGAATAGAAGGGAAGGGAAGGGAAGGGAGGGGAGGGGAGGGAAGAGAAGAGAAATAAGAATAGGATAGGATAGGATAGGAAAAAAATACAGAGTTGGAAGGAACCTCGGAGGTCTTCTAGTCCAGCCCCGTGCTCAAGCAGGAGAACCTATACCATTTCAGATAAGTAGGGGAAAGAAGACCACTCCGGGGAATTCACAAACGGCCTCCGTGAAACGGGGGATTCGCCAAGCTTCACCCAACAGCCCCTTCCCAGAAGCCCTTTCTCCGTCCGTTATCAACAATTGGGATGCCTTTTTAACCCCCCCCCCACCAATTTGCCATGATCCTGGTATAATCAGGACTTCTTGGTGGGGTTTTGGTTACTGGCTGTCTGTAGGAACTCACCTATATAGAGAGGGGAGTTGGTTGGGCTGGCGAAGTCGTCTATGTAGGAGATGCCAAAGGGCTGGATGGGCACCCCACCGATGCCCAGCAAGGTTTGCCCGAAGAGGAGCAAGATCAGGATCATGTTGCTCTCTCTCTGGCTGCCAGTGCAGACGTCCGTCACGGGCCCTTTCCGATTCGGGAGACAGATATCCGTGGTGTTACTCGAGGAACCTGGGGAGAGAAAGCCAGAGGGTTGGGTAGTCCATTCTCACAACTCTTCGGGCTGGGAGAAGACCTCCTGCTGCCCCAGTTGGGATAAGATAGCCCGGTTCGTTCTAAACCAGTGTTTCTCAACCTTGGAAGCTTGAAGATGGGTGGACTTCCACTCCCAGAATTCCCTAGCCCAGTGTTTCTCAACCTTGGAAGCTTGAAGATGGGTAGACTTCAACTCCAGAATTCCCTAGCCCAGTGTTTCTCAACCTTGGAAGCTTGAAGATGGGTGGACTTCAACTCCCAGGATTCCCTAGCCCAGTGTTTCTCAACCTTGGAAGCTTGAAGATGGGTGGACTTCAACTCCCAGAATTCCCTAGCCCAGTGTTTCTCAACCTTGGAAGCTTGAAGATGGGTGGACTTCAACTCCCAGAATTCCCTAGCCCAGTGTTTCTCAACCTTGGAAGCTTGAAGATGGGTGGACTTCAACTCCCAGAATCCCCCAGCCAGTCCACCCATCTTCAAGCTTCCAAGGTTGAGAAACACTGTTCTGAACCCAAATTGTACAGGTAGTCCTCGATTTACGACCATTCATTTAGTGACCATTCGGAGTCGGTCAGCGAAGAGGTTGTAAAAAAAAATGCTTTCAAAAGGCTCGGACGATCCCAGTTGCCTGATCGGCAGAGGCTTTTTTTTCTTTTAAATTCGATTGTTAGAGGCATTTAAAAGATAAAAAGGGTTTTTTTTTTCTTTTAAAAGCCTTTGACGATCCCAGCTGAGCCGCGCGATCATCAGAGGCTTTTTTTTTTTTTTTTTTTTAAAAGATTTTTTTTTTGGTGTGTGTTTGTAAAAAAAATGCTTTTAAAAGTAAAAAAAAAAAAAAGCCTCTGATGATTGTGCGGCTTAGCTTCACATGGGGGGGGGCAGGGGGGGGCAGGGATTTTTGCTAGGTTCTGACAGGTTCTGAAAAATCGGTAGCGGAAATTTTGAGCAGTTTGGAGAGCCGGCAAATACCATCTCTGGCTGGCCCCAGGAGTCTGGAGGGAGTGGGGACTTTGCAGTATCCTTCCCCTGCCACACCCACCAAGCCACGACCACAGAGCCGGTAGTAAAAAAATTTGGATTTCAACACTGAGTAAAATGATAATATGTCTTACATAATTTCTTCTGTTATATAAGAAATATAATAAACCGGGGACATAATTATAGATTATGCGGCTTTACAGGAGGACAAAGAATGGCTTAGTCACTTGTCATTTTGGAGAGCTGGAAATCAATGGATTGTCCCATAGTTCCAAATTTACCATCTGAATAAGCAGACCCTGTGAAGAACATTTACAGAAAGTCGTCCCAAAGGTGCTTTTTCGAAAAGGCAACTGGGCTTTCTTTTTTTTTTCCTTGAGGACATTTCGCTTCTCATCCAAGAAGCTTCTTCGGTTCTGATTGAATGGTGGAGGATGGAAGGATTTATATTCCTTGCAGTCATCTGGTTGTTAGCGCTCTTTCTGAGGATTGCAGGAATGTCTGAAAAACTCAGGAGGGTTTTCAACCGACGCAACACACATGGACAACTCAAACCCAAGAATACACTAAGACAGAAGCTGGTCCAGCCCAGGGATAAAACACCCAGACACAAACTGAGCAACATGGTATATGCAGTACAATGCAGCGAGAACATGTATAGATCTGTGCATTGGGGAAACAAAACAGCCACTTCACAAACGCATGGCACAACATAGGAGAACAAAGAGGACGAGATTCAGGAATCTGTCTGCATTTGAAAGACAAAGGTCATGCTTTTGTAGACAGCAAAGTCCACATTCTGGACAGAGAGGACAGCTGGTCTGGAAGAGGGGTCAAAGAGGCCATCTAGGTCAAAACTGAACAGCCCTGTCTCAACAGAGGGAGAAGAATATAACTGTTGTGGCCCGCCAGCAGCCAGCAGAGCTGGCAGCAGATTCGGACAGTGAGGAGGTTGGGGAGGAACGTGGGCCAGTCCTGGAGTCTGGGGAAGGCTCGGACGAGGGCTCTGAGTCGGAGGCAGAGAGTGGGCCAAGGCCATCTGGTACTTCTTTGCTGTCTCCGGAGCCTCCAGAGTCTGACATCAGCAAGGCAGAAGAACAGAGGGAGCCTGTTCCCAGTGTGTGCATGCGCAGAGCTGCCAGGAGACAGGAACAATTAAGGAAACAGGGTCGACTTGGGAGTAAGGCTTGGAGACGATTGGCCCCTCCCATAAGACATAAAAGAGAAGCGAACAGGACGTGAGCTTTTGCAGGAAGCAATTAATTCATCTGGCCGATTCAAGATTTGAAACTTCTGTTTGTGACTCTGTGCCGAGTTTGGCCTTGCCCTGCGTCTGGAAATTAGCTCTTTGGCAGCGTTCCATGTGAGTTAGATGGGTGTTGATAACCTTCCTCTAAAAGACTGTTTATCAAGCCTTGTGGACTGTAAATGAAAGTAATTTACAGCCGTATGAATTAAAGAGGTTTGCCGGGACTAACTTTGTGCTGTTTACTTTCTAAGGAAGCCTAGATCAGAACAACAACACCACCTATCTCCTCTCTACAACACAGTCCTTTTAGCAGTTCCAAGAAGGTTCTGCACCCATTTGCATTATTCAGGGGACTCTGAAGGCAGAGATAAACCTTCTAGTAGCCTCAACGATTCTCAGAAAGAATACCAACGACCAGATGACTGCAAGACATATAAATCCTTCCATTCTCCACCATCCAGTCAGAACCGAAGAAGCTTGTTGGATGAGAAACGAAATGTCTTCAAGGAAAAAACAAAAAGAAAGCCCAATTGCCTCTTGGAAAAGCACCTTTGGGACAACCAGGACCTGGAGGGTCTGAGAATCTCCATAGAAGTTTCTAGAAAGTCCTTACCCGAAATGGACTGATCGTATTCGTAAGGCGGTGAGACAAAGTGTGGAACGGAAATGACCAATCCGGCCACGGAGACGAGGATGGCACCGCAGCCAATGAGCCGTGGCCTGTGGACTCGGCTGCCAAAATAACTCACAAAGATGATGAGCATCGTGTTTCCAACCTGATAGATGAGATAAATGTTGGGTAGATCTTTAACAAGGCTGAAGAAACTAGATCTTTATGAAAGACAACGAGTCAGGTCATGTTTTTGAAATAATAATAATAATAATAATAATAATAATAATAATAATAATGTTCTAAATCATTAAATCGTTAAACTTATTAAATCATCAAATCATGAAAATCGTAAAACTCATAAAATTGTAAAAAAAAACCATCAAATTATCACATTCGTCAAATCATCAAAATCATTAAATTAGCAAGTCGTAAAAATAAATTGTAACAGTCATCAAATCATCAAACTCATTAAATCATCAAACTCATTAAATCCTTAAATCCTCAAAATCATTAAATCATAAAACTCATTAAATCGTTAAGTCCTCAAAATCAACAAATCATAAGACTCATTTAAATGGTTAAATCCTCAAAATCAACACATCATCAAAATCAGCCAATCGTAAAAATCCTCAGATCCTCAAGCCCATTAAATCATCGAAGTCATTAAATCCTCAAAAAACATCAAATCACAAAAATCATCCAACTGTAAAAATCATCAAATCATCAAACTCATTAAATCATCAAACTCATTAAATCCTTAAATCCTCAAAATCATTAAATCATAAAACTCATTAAATCCTCAAAATCATTAAATCATAAAACTCATTAAATCGTTAAGTCCTCAAAATCAACAAATCATAAGACTCATTTAAATGGTTAAATCCTCAAAATCAACACATCATCAAAATCAGCCCATCGTAAAAATCCTCAGATCCTCAAGCCCATTAAATCATCGAAGTCATTAAATCCTCAAAAAACATCAAATTACAAAAATCATCCAACGGTAAAAATCATCAAATCGTCAGACTCATTAAATCGTCAAAACAACAAATTATCAAAATCACCAAATCGTTAAAGCATTAAAAAAAAAAAAATCACATCGTGAAATCGTGAATCGAACATCAATCACTTGACGGTGAGATGGGCAGCATGTAAATTTAATAAATAACCAGCCGCTGAATCAATTCACAGTTTGCGCTAAAAAGAAATGATTGGCGTGGTTATCACTCCTTAGAAAAAGGGTTGTTTTTCACCCAGTATCCAATTACTCTTATTCGATATTATTTTAATTATTATAATTATTTTGTGAGTCTAGAATTAGACTCACAAAAATAGGTATATCGTGTTCCAGCCTATTCCTGAGAGGACAATAGATCAATCCATAAATAATGTGAAAAAAATAATTTCTTCTTATGAAATAAAAAAAAAAAAGAACCAGGAATCCTTTCATTAAAAAACCCAAACCATTTTATTGAAAATCTGTAGAGCAATGATAAATTGCTTTTTATTACAGAGAAAGTTATATAAAAAAGGGCCAGAAGAAGATCTGCAGGGTCATGGCGAAGATTGTTCTCCACGCCTTCGATTCACTCCTCTGGAGTTGACGGAGGCGCATTCCTTTGATGTTCTCTGGGAGGAGTTTGATCCTTTTGGTCCTGAGGAAATGGACAAGGTCCTTGGCACTGTGAGTGCAGCCACCTGGGTTTTAGATCCCTTCTCTTCCTCCTCCTCCTCCTCTCCACTCTACAAACCCCACTTCCTTCTAGCACTGATGGTGTTCGCTAGTTGGGTAATGAAACGTCTACAAGAAAACCACCAAGTTCAGAGATAGAAGTATTACATGGTTGTGCAGTAGAGTAACTACCAAAGACCCCACAGTCCTCCTCTTCCTGTTCCTGCTTCTCCTCCTCCTCCTCTCCACAAACCCCTCTCCCTTCTAGCACTGATGATGTTCCCTAGTTGGGTAATGAGAATCTGCAAGAAAACCATCAAACTCAGGGAGCGTTGTGGCCCATCAGAGGCCTGTGCAGTTAGTAGCTGATTCTGACAGCAAGGAGGCTGGTGTGGTGCTGCGCCAGCAGCCTGTGCAGCTGGCACTCGAGTTGGACAGTGAGGAGGCTGGAGAAGATGTGGTGCCAGAGGCCTTCAGAACCTCCAGAAGCTCCCATAAGTGAAGAGGAAGAAGAGGAGGAGCCTCTTCTCGATGCATGGGAGCGCAGAGCTGCCAAAAGGCAGGAGTGGCTCCTCAGGAGGAGGTCTCCTCGAGAGTAAGGCTTGGGGCTAATTGGCCACTCCCTTAGCCTATTTAAGGAGGAATGCCAACTGAAGCAATTTGTAGGGAACAACTTTAATTCACTCTCCTTCGCGTCTGGATTCTCTGCAAATTGCTTCTGGGCTTTCTGCCAACCTTAGTAAGATTGTGATTACTTTATCTTTGGATTCTTGTAGGCTGTTAAGAAAGTTTATTAACAGCCTTTGTTTGAAAAAACACTGATTTAATTTACTAAACTAAGGTTTGTACAGACTTTGTGTGTGTGCTGCGTTCTTTGGGGTCCGTAGCTGGGGCAGAACAGGGAGCACCAAGGACCCTACAGTTCTCCTCCTCCCTTCCAGCCCTGATGATGTTCCCTAGCTGGGTCGTGAAACGTTTGCAAGAAAACAACCAACCTCATGGAGCACCAAGGACCCCGAGCTCATCCCTGAGCTACAAATATCCCCTTCTGTGGGCGCTATCGATTCTAAGATTTAAAGCTTCATGTTTATGAAGATTAATACTAGTAGTAAGCATAGGGATGGCTGTTTACTAGTAGCCACGGCAGCAATATTGCCGCGGTCGTGCAGTAGAGGCCCGGCATAGCGGAGAGAAGCGCTGCAGGGGCTGGAGAGGGTACCTCGTGGAAGGAGGCCACCATGCCAGACGTCTGGCTGGAGAGACCAAAGCGCCTCTCGATGGTGGAAATCGAACTTTTCATGTAGCCGGACGTCATCAGTTGGGAGAACTGCAGGAATCCGTGGCAGAGAACGAAGAACTGCAGGGAATAAATAAGGAAGATTCAGAACCACACCGGGACCCGCCTTTTCTCGGACCCCCCGATAAAACACACTCATTGTCCAAATAAGCAGCCCGTGTGATGTACAACCATTCGCTTAGTGACCATTTGAAGTTAAAACGGCACTGAAAAAAAGGGACCATTCCCCCCACTTACGACCGCAGCTTCGTGCCCGCAGCCACAGGATCAAAATTCAGACGCTTGGCATCTGACGATGGAGATGGGCACTATTTTGGCATTAGGCCTCTTTGGGAGGGAGGGCATGGCCATTCAGAGACCGGGGGAGGGAGGGGGCGGGGAGAGAGAGATTTTATGAAGTCCTTGGGGCTCTCTGAGCTTTGGTGGTGGTTCTTGGAGACGTTTCATGTCCAAGTGAGGGAACATCATCAGTTTTGTAGCAGGGCAGTGCTAGGTAACACTGATGATGTTACCTAGTTTGGTAATGAAACATCAAGGTCAGAGAGCACTAAGGATCCCATAGTCGTTGTCATCTTCCTCCTCCTCCATCCTCTTCTAGCACTGATGAACCCAATTCTCCTTTTCTGTCTCCCTTTCTTTTCCTTTTCCTTTTCCTTTTTCTCTTTCTCTTTCTCTTTCTCTCTCCTCCTCCTCCTCCTCCTCCTTCATCCTCTTCTAGCACTGATGAACCCCTGATTCTCTTTCTCTGTCTCCCTTTCTTTTCCTTTTCCTTTTCCTTTTCCTTTTTCTTTTCCTTTTCCTCTTTCTCTTTCTCTCTCCTCCTCCTCCTCCTCCTCCTCCTCCTCCTCCTCCTCCTCCTCCATCCTCTTCTAGCACTGATGACGTTACCTAGCTGGGTAATGAAATACTGTATCTCTCAAGAAAACCACCAAGATCAGAGAGCACCAAGAACCCCTGATTCTCCTTCTGTCTCCCTTTCTTTTTCTTTTTCTCTTTCTCTTTCTTTTTCTCTTTCTTTTTCTCTTTCTCTTTCTCTCTCCTCCTCCTCTTCCTCCTCCTCCTCCTCCTACTACTACTACTACTCCATCTCCATCCTCTTCTAGCACTGATGAAGTTACCTAGCTGGGTAATGAAATATCTCTCAAGAAAACCATCAAGAACAGACAGTACCAAGAATTCCTGATTCTCCTTCTCTGTCTCCCTTTCTTTTTCTTTTTCTCTTTCTCTTTCTCATTCTCTTTCTTTCTCCTCCTCCTCCTCTTCCTCCTCCCTGCAAACCCCAACCCTTCTCATCCTGATGAGGTTCCCTGCTTGAGTCACGAAACGTCTGCAAGAAAACAACCTCGCTCAAAGAGCACCAAGGACCATCCTTCCCTCCCCAGCTCAACCCTGAACTACAAGTATCCTCTTTCTGTGAAGTTACTCCTCAATGCCTTTGAAAGCTGAAGCATGTTGTTGAGTGCCCTTTCATGATTTAGGTGGTAGCTGCAGCTGCTTTGATTTTCGCTGTATTTTTACTTGGGTTTATCTGCATTGTGTGTTGAGTTTAGGGTTAGGTTTTGATTGTGTATAAGGAAGAGGGGTGGGTGGATGGATCTATAGATGATAGATTGATAAAATAACAAATCGTCCATCACAGTTAGCATCAGCCGTAGTGACAGTAATGGCAGAAATATATTCTTTGTGCTTATAGTCAAGGACGATTTCTTCGCAATCCTTCACAGGTCTATTGACGCTCTCTTCAAACGTCTTCTCTAAAAAGAGCTTGAAGAAGTTTGACATTTCAGAGTTTGTCCATTTTTTAAAAGGAAAAACACTCAGTAAAGCGCTCCAGAAAAACGTTCTTATTTCCAACCAATAGATGACAAAGCCAATGTGTTCAGCCCTCAGCATTTTAACACCGGAAGGCGAAAAAAATCTGCACAGGGAAAACCAAACTTTAAAACGCTTCAAGAAAATATCCTTTCCAAATTGAGTTCTCACTGTTTTTGGCTTTCTTTTTTCCTGTATATTTCCCGCCCGCCCCCCATCTCTTTCCAAAATGTGAGCTGCTTTAAATAGAGGCAATCCTCGACTTACGACCACAATTGAGCCCACAACTCCTGCTGCTAAGCGAGACGGTCGTTAAGGGAGTTTTGCCCCATTTTACGACTTTCCTTGCCGCAATTGCTAAGCGAATTAGTGCGGTTGCTAAGTTAGCGACACGGTTGTTAAGTGAATCTGGCTTCCCTCATTGACTTTGCTTGTCAGTCGGTCACAAAAGGGGAATCACATGACCCCGGGACACTGCGACCGTCATAAATACGACGGTTCAGTTGCCAAGCCTCTGAATTTTGATCACGTGACTGCGGGGATGCTGCAAAGGCCGTAAGTGTGAAAACCGGTCGTAAGTCCCTTTTTGCAGTGCCGTTGTAACCACGAACGGTCACTAAACGAGCCATTGTAAGTCGAGGACTGCCTGTATTGCAGTCACGCAGCCCACTACAAATCGATGAGAGTCCCTTTTCATTAATTTGAGCATGGGGACGTTGCAACGGTCATAAGACTGAAAAATGGTTGTACGCAGAGGTAGTTGAGGACTACCTGTCTATGTACATGTAAAGGTAAAAGGTAAAGGTTCCTCTCGCACATATGTGCTGGTCGTTCCCGACTCTAGGGGGCGGTGCTCACCTCCGTTTCAAAGCCGAAGAGCCAGCGCTGTCCGAAGACGTCTCCGTGGTCATGTGGCCGGCATGACTCAACGCCAAAGGCGCACGGAAAACGCTGTTCCCTTCCCACCAAAGGTGGTCCCTGTTTTTCTACCTGCATTTTTTACCTGCTTTCGAACTGCTAGGTTGGCAGAAGCTGGGACAAGCAATGGGAGCTCACCCCGTTATGCAGCACTAGGGACTCGAACCACTGAACTGCCGAGCGTTCGATCGACAAGCTCAGCGTCTTAGCCCCTGAGCCACCGCGTCCCTTTTTGTACATGTACAACGGGCCGAACAAGGGATTGAATTGTCCAATTGCTTTTCCTCTTTGGAGCCACTTGGGATAAACGTAGCAAAGGGCTGAACTGGGTACTTACTTTGATGGTGTAAAATGGATTTGAGCAGTAAAATGGAGCTGGACTTTTATCGGCCATTTCCTCACATCGGCTCCCGTATTTCTGCGGGAAAAGAAAATCAGGCTGGTTAAGGCTCCGAGGATTCCCAGTTGGTTTACTTCGATGGGCAGATGAGAGGGAGGGAGGGGGAGGGGGGGAGATCTGCCGGGCAAGGAATACAGATGGACCTCCGATTACGCCGAACGTTTCTGTCACTGAGTGAGACAGAGTTGTTTCAGGGAGCTTTGCCCCCATTTTACAGCTTTCCTGGCCACAACTGTTTAGTGCAGTGTTTCTCAACCTTGGAAACTTGAAGATGGGTGGACTTCAACTCCCAGAATCCCCCAGCCAGCAGCGAATCTGGGTTCATCGTGGACTTTTGGTTGTTGGAAGGTCGCCAAAGGGGCTCATGTGACACCCCCCCCGGGGACCAGAGGTGGGTTTCAGCAGGTTCTGACCAGCTCTGGAGAACCGGTAGCAGAAAGTTTGAGTAGTTCGGAGAACCGGTAGTGAAAATTCTGACTGGCCCCGCCCCCATCTATTCTCTGCCGCCCGAGTCCCAGCTGATCCGGAGGAAATGGAGATTTTGCAGTAACCTTCCCCTGGAGCGGGGTGGGAATGGAGATTTTACAGAATCCTTCCCCTGCCACGCCCACCAAGCCGTGCCACGCCCACCAAGCCACACCCACAGAACCAGAATTAGAATTAGAATTATTCTAATTGTCAGGAAATTCCTCCTTAATTTCAGGTTGCTTCTCTCCTTGATTAATTCCCATTTGTTGCTTCTTGTCCTGCCTTCGGGTGCTTTGGAGAAGGGGTTGACCGACCCCCCTCTTCTTTGGGGCAGCCCCTGAGATATTGGAAGAGGCTGCCAAAGGCAAAGCACTCAAGGCCATCTTCCATTGATTTTTTTTTCAATTCAATTTTTGAACTCAGTTCAAGCTGTGGCTCTGGAAAGAGTGCAGAGAAGAGCTACGGAGATGACCAGGGGTCTGGAGGCTAAATTGCGGCTAAGGCAGACAGATAAGGAAGAGATAGAAGTAGGATAGATGGAGGGAGGGATGGGGGTGACATGGAGGGATGACAGACTGACAGACAGACAGACATAATGGTTTGCCTACTGCAATTGTGGATGCTCCATCATTGGATGTTTTTAAGAAAAGATTGGATAACCGTTTGTCTGTGATGGTATAAGGCAGAGGCCTTCAAACTTGGCAGCTTTAAGACTTGGGGACTTCAACTCCCAGAATTCTCCAGCCAGCTGGCTGGAGAATTCTGGGACTTGAAGTCCCCAAGTCTTAAAGCTGCCAAGTTTGAAGGCCTCTGATATAAGGTCTCCTGCCTTGAGCAAGAGGTTGGACTAGAAGACCTCCAAGGTCCCTGCCAGCTCTAGGATTCTAGGATTCAGTCATCGCATCTCCTCCTACTACGCAACATGGAATTTCCTGAAGCTGTTCCTACGGCCAGCAGCCACCGTTGCAGGAATCCCGAATTTCACGTCTCGGTGTTCCTCTGCAGGTTTCACCCAGAGCCTGAAAGCTGCTGTTGACAGAGGCCCATTTGACACATCATGCTTCGTTCCCCTCCTCACCCCGGTAATTCTATTTTCTCCCCGAGAACGGAGAAACGGAGAGGCTAATGCAATTTAGATCGCATTTAGGTTGTCAAGCTTGATCCTGTCAAGACAAGCAGAACTGAATTAAACTGTTTTGTTTTCTACGGGGCTCGGGAGAAGAGAAATGAGCGGGAGGCACAACTCCAAGTGCACAAGCTGTTTGGTGTCAGCCGACACTTGTAAATAGCTTTTGTATAATCGGCTGTGGCTGTTGCACGCTTCTCCTCCGTTGGATCCACAGAGGACGGGACCGAAATGGAAACCTCTTATCCGTTCTCTTCTTCTTCCCCAGCTACTTCTTGAAGTCAGATTCTTTTTCAAGGTTCATGCTTCATAAGTATTCCGTCTTTCCTCAAGACGGAATACGTATCAACGTATCAACCTATTAGGAAATTTCTTCAGCCCGTCTTTTCAATGGGTCACTGTAGCTGTTCAAGGCATCCTTTGTAGATGGATGAGGACAAAGAGATTGCAGTGAGAAGGGGCAACGTTTAAAGAGATCCTTTGGACTGATTCAGAATCAAAGCCCATCCTAAGAGAACCACAAGACCCAGCAGCCCCAGAAGGAAAAACAGGAGCCACCGACTCCGTACAGTGTAAGGACCGTAACAGCCACTGTGTGGGACAAGCAGGGAGAAGATTAACCGAGCGCATCCAGCAACACCAACTAGCAGTCAGAAGACGGGATGAAAACTCTTTTAATTTCACAACATAGGGACAGGCTCAGCCATAATTTCAGAAGGGCAACTGGGAGCATCCTAGACCAAGCCGTGCCCAAAAACGCTGGGGAATTCCTGGACTAGGCCTGGCATTCTGACAAATCAGCCATCAACAGGCACGTAGAGGTAAACCACATTTACCCGCCATGCAAAGGAGACAATAAAAAAAATCTAAAAGACAACACCGACTCCTTGCCAGCAAACGACACCCAGACAAGCAGAGATTGACATCTGGATGAATACTAGACAATAAATAATAAGTAAACAAAACCCCTGATTAAGGAACTATCAAAAATCAGTCAAACTTTCCTGAAAGATAAATGAACGAATCAGTGGAACAACTTTCCTCCAGAAGTTGTGACTGCTCCAATACTGGAAGTTTTTAAGAAGAGATTGGACAACCATTTGTCTGAAATGGTAGAAGGAGCAGAGGGTTGGACTAGAAGACCTCCAAGGTCCCTTCCAACTGTGTTATTCTATTCTAAACAGTAAGCAAACCCCACACTCACCAGCAGTATGAAATGTCTGCAAGAAAACAACCAAACTGAGAGAGCACCAAAGACCCTCACAGTCTTCCTCCTCCTCCTCCTCCTCCTCCTCCTCCTCTCCACAAACCTCACTCCCTTCTAGCACTGATGATGTTCCCTAGCTGGGTAATGAAATGTCTGCAAGAAAACAACCAAGCTCAGAAAGCACCAAGGGTCCCACGGTCCTCATCCTCCTCCCCCCCATCCTCCTCCTCCTCCATCCTCTTCTAGCACTGATGATGTTACCTAGCTGGGTAATGAAATATCTCTCAAGGAAACAACCAAGATCAGACAGCACCAAGAATTCCTGATTCTCCTTCTCTGTCTCCCTTTCTTTTTCTTTTTCTTTTTCTTTTTCTTTTTTTTCTTTTCCTCTTTCTCTTTCTCTTTCTCTTTCTTTCTCCTCCTCCTCCTCCTCCATCATCCTCTTCTAGCACTGATGCCCCTAGTGGGTAATGAAATATCTCTCAAGGAAACAACCAAGTTCAGAGGGCACCAAAGACCCTCACAGTTCAATCCTGAGCTGCAAATAAAATTAATCAAATAATACAGTTAACCAAGTATGACCAGTTATTTAATGACATTCGAAGTTATAACACACATGAAAAAAAATGACTTAGGGCCATTTTTCACACTTGCGACCGTTACAGTATCCCCTTGTCATGATCAAAGCTCAGACACTTGCAACTCTCATATTTATGACGGTCGCAGTATCCCGGGGTCACGTGATCCCCTTTTGCAACCTCCTGATGAGCCAAGTCAACGCGGGGAGCCAGATCCACTTAACGACCGTGTGACCAACTTAAAAACTGCAGCGACTCACTTAACGACTACGGGAAGGAAGTTCATAAAATGGAGCAAAAAACAAATGTCTCACTTAGCCACAGAAACTTTAGGCTCAATTGTGGTCGCAAGCTGAGGACTACCTGTAATGCTGAACGTGGGGTAATTTTTTGATTAGAACTTTGGCGCACTGATTTTCCGCTGACATTTTAAATCATTCCCCATCCTTATCGGAACAAAAAATACATAAATAAATTCACAAAGCCGCACGAATGAATAGGTGCTTACGGATGCTGTTTGAAAGAGCTTCCTGGGACTGCCCCGCCGAGTGTGAAACCCCTGTGCAAACTCCAAATGTGTTGTTGTAATTACACCGACTGTGCAAACATCAACAGATTACTCACATGGAGCTAATTAAAAAGGGGGGCGAATGAATGTTCACAGCCACGCTTAATTATCCTGCCTCGTCATCTGTACATAAATTACTTTTTCAATACTCCGGATGGAGGAGGGCGGTTGCACGCGGTGCCGCCAATTCATCTTGGCTGTAATTTTCGGCTTCCCTTCCAGAACGGAGCATCGGTCTTAGATCTTGGAGGACTCATCTTGAGAAGCAACGCTGCGGCTTCTCGCTCAGCGCCACTTGAGCTCCACTACAGCAATCTCTTTCCGGAGGCCAAACCGTGAAAAGCTATCGAACGGTAATAGGGGGGAGAAGGTAATCGGAGTTCATTTCCGGGCACCTTTCATCCTGTTGGGTACTGTCCACAAAGCCCTGTTCATTTGAGACTAACAAAAAAGGGAATAACAGAGTTGGAAGGGACTGTTGTGGCTCCGTTACCTGAGCCTGTGTCATCGGCAGGAGAGGACTCTGAGAGTGAAGGAGAGGAGTTGGCAAGGCCTCCCTCTCCAGGACCCTCCTCTCTGGCAATGCCTTCGGTGTCTGCCAAAGGGCAAGAGATAGGGCCGGGGCCAAGCACGTCCACGCAGCCACAGGTGGACAGTGATGAGGGTAATGAGTCTTGGCTGGATCCACGCCAGCGTCGCAGAGATAAGCGCACGCAACAGAAGAAAAGGCGTGCCCGAGATTAGGCTGAGTCACTGGACCACACCCCACAGGAGATAAAAGGGAGCGTGGTGGCCAGTCAAACCTTGTGACGAACAAAGCTGAAAGCTTCCACGCCATTCTGCATTGCCGGACTTTTGCTATAGACTTTGCTGGATTATCTCTGGACTTGATTGACTCCGTAATTATTGAGCTGTTTCTTTTGATGTATCAGAAGTGGGGAGAAGTTATCTCTCCTCTTTGTAAATAATAAACTCTTGGCAGGCAGCCACTAGGTTGTTGCCAAGTTCCGTTATCATAAGGAAAAGGATTTTGCCGGCTGGTTTGGTCTTTAACTCTTGAACGTCTGTTGG